GGCTATACGAGAGAATCCAGTGTACGAGAAGAAGCCCAAGAGAGAAGTTAAAAAGAAGAGGTGGAACCGTCCCAAAATGTCCCTTGCCCAGAAGAAAGATCGGGTAGCTCAAAAGAAAGCAAGCTTCCTCAGAGCTCAGGAGCGGGCTGCTGAGAGCTAAACCAAACAACTTTCTATGAAGATTTTTCTGATAAAGACAATAAACTTATTGACCGAGCAGCAAAAAAAAAAAAAAAAAAAGAAGTCTTGCATTCAGAGGAATTAGGATTAAATCCCAGGGTGCCTGACTTTTTACTTCAGCTGTGGGTCAGTTCTGCTAACTCAGCGTCCATGGTGTTGCTGAAGGTGGGAAGAGGGTACCAACAGCCAGACCAGGTGCATGTAACTGACGCAGGGTTTAAAAACATGAACACTTTAAAGTGCACTGTACTGGAAGTGTTTCTGGAAATTTCTGTAGAATCTGTTTTACATTCTCTGGCTTCTTAGCCACAGCGTGATCTTCTCCTGTTAACACAAGATTCTCTCTGTGAATGGCCAAGGTTGAGCTGGATGTCTAGACAGAGGCCGGGGAAGATTCTCTGTCACTTGGAGGCTACCGTGACCTTGGGCATTGTCCTTAACGATCCTAAATTAGAGGTCGTGCTGCAACCAGCCTCCTGGCAGCATTGTGAGAGCGCGGGACTGCCCGCAGCACACACCTGGCATTTAGCAAACTCTCCAGAGCCCGGAGTTGTGCTGCTGCTGCGGACAAGAATTACTCACACGTGAGACTTCTCGTACTTGTAGGAAGAGGTCCCAGATGTCTACTTGGAGATTATTTCTTCATAATCGCTTCTCAATGTTTAGATTTGCTTTCAAATTTTTTTCTTACTATTGTGAAACATAACACAAAATCTACCATTTTGACCATTTTTAGTATGCAGTTCTGTGACATTGAGTTCATTCACCTTTCTGTGCAAACTTTACCATCATCCATTTCTTGTATTTTTTTTTTTTTTACAGGCAGAGTGGACAGTGAGAGAGAGACAGAGAGAAAGGACTTCCTTTGCCATTGGTTCACCCTCCAATGGCCGCCGCGGCCCGCGCACCGCGCTGATCCGATGGCAGGAGCCAGGTACTTATCCTGGTCTCCCATGGGGTGCAGGGCCCAAGCACTTGGACCATCCTCCACTGCACTCCCTGGCCACAGCAGAGAGCTGGCCTGGAAGAGGGGCAACCGGGACAGAATCTGGCACCCCGACCGGGACTAGAACCTGGTGTGCCGGCGCTGCTAGGCAGAGGATTAGCCTATTGAGCTGCGGCGCCGGCCTGCCGTCATCCATTTCAAGAGCTTTTTCATCTTTCCCACCTGGATAAAGGGTCTTCAAAATTCATGGAAAGTGTATATTATGAAAATAGCAGCCGGCGCCGCGGCTCACTAGGCTAATCCTCCGCCTTGCGGCGCCAGCACACCGGGTTCTAGCCCCGATCGGTGTGCCAGATTCTGTCCCGGTTGCCCCTCTTCCAGGCCAGCTCTCTGCTGTGGCCAGGGAGTGCAGTGGAGGATGGCCCAGGTGCTTGGGCCCTGCACCCCATGGGAGACCAGGAGAAGTACCTGGCTTCTGCCATCGGATCAGCGCGGTGTGCCGGCTGCAGTGCGCCGGTCGCGGCGGCCATTGGAGGGTGAACCAATGGCAAAGGAAGACCTTTCTCTGTCTCTCTCTCTCACTGTCCACTCTGCCTGTCAAAAAAAAAAAAAAAAAAAAAAAAAAAGGAAAAAAAAGAAAATAACTATGCATGGGTTTTCAAATTCTTTTGCAGCAAATAAATTTTAACTCCATTTTCTATGGACTTTTTAAAAGCCCTTAAAAAAGCTTATTTATTTATTTATTTATTTTTAAAGATTTATTTTATTTGTTTGCATGACAGAGTTACAGAGAGAGATAGAGACAGAGAGATGTCTTCCATCTGCTCACTCCCCAAATGGCCCCAACAGCTGGAATTGAGCCAGTTCGAAGCTGGGAGCAAAGAGATTTCTCCGGCTCTCCCATATGGGTACAGGAGCCCGAGGACTTGGGCCATCTTTACTACTTTCCCAGGTGCATTAGCAGGGAGCTGGATCAGAAGTGGAGCAGCCGGGACTCGAACCAGCGTCCATATGGGATGCCAGTACAGCAGGCCAGGACTGCCCCAGTGCTAGCCTCCTATTTATTTTATCAGCATGAAAGGAAGAGCAAGAGAGAGAGAGATGTATATCTTCAATCTGTTGCTTCACTCTTCAATGCCTGCAACAGCCAGGGCTGGGCCAGGCTAAAGCCAGGAGCCTGAAACTCCATCTGTGTCTCCAGGGTTCCAGGCACTTGAGCCATCATCTACTGCCTCCCAGCATGAATCAGCAGGAAGCTGCACGGGAAGTGGAGTAGCTGGAACCCAAACTGATAGTCCAGTATGGGATGCAGGCATCTGAGGAAGCGTCACAACTGCACCCCTCCGTGAACTAACTCCCCTTGGTTATCCACTTCTTAAAACAATGAAGTTAGTGTGCTCAGCACAGAAGGGTGTATGGAGGCCCCCTGCGTGTGTTCATGCTCCAGAGGGCAGTGTTGACCAAAGTCTGGCTGCAGATAACTAGGACATGGCCTTGCAGTTGGTTTGGAATAAGGCAGATGGGTGGATGGCTGGATGGAAGGATAAATAGATAGATTTCTTACATGGCAAGTGTTACTGCATTGCTTGTTGTTAGAAATAGTCAATGCAAATAGAACTTTCTTCACCCAAAAGGTGTGCTTCTGTTGTGAAATGCTTTTTTACACAAAAACTCAAAGATGGTCTCTGTATTCATTTTCTGGGACTGCCCTGACAAAGTACCACAGGCGAGACGGCTTACACAAAAGTTTATTTTCACAGTACTGGAGGCTCCAAGTCCAAGATCAAGGTGTTGGTGGTACTGGCCTCTCCTGAGGTTCGCTTTGGCTTACAGACAGCCGCCTTCTCTCTGCGTCCTCACGTGGTCTTCTCTGTGTGTGTCCTGATCCCTTCTTCCTGACAGTACCCCATTCTTACTGGATGGGGTCAACATCCATGGCCTCCCTGTAACTCAGTTACTTCTTGAAAGGCCCTGTCTTATAACAAAGGTACTTCTGGGATCCTGAGCATTAGAAATTCTGAAGATAGTGGAAGGGTACACTTCAACCCATAAAAGTCTCTAAAAGTCACTCTTGTTCTAAAACTCCTCAAAATCTTCCCCAGTTCCAGAGGAAGCAGATGGAGCCAGGTGTCCCGTGCGCCTGGCACGTGCATTCCCCGAGGCACGTGACTGATGGTTGAACATTATAGATGCAGTTCTGCAGTCCCAGAGACAGAATGTCCTACCACTGCAGAGCCATGTACATTACATTTTTCTTAGAGAGAAAGAATAATAAACAAAGAGAATATTTTAAGTTCTACGCTCCTCGTCTGCCAAGAATAATCCTGCTGTTCTCTGAAACTGACTCCCTTCATGTCCATCTTATACTCTGTATCCGCAGACGTCTGCCCTGGAAAAGCAGGCCGCAGGCTTCAAGATAATCCACATAGCTTTAAGTAAACACTGGCATCCCGGAAATGTGGCCTCACTCTGAGAGGCCATTTCTGTCCAAGGAGAGAGGTTTCTGGTTGATAATGAGACCTCAAGAAGAGCCTTTTAAAACAGCATTTGTAGGGGCCGGCGTTGTGGTGCAGCAGGTTAACGCCCTGGCCTGAAGCACTGTCATCCCATATGGACGCTGGTTCGAGACCCGGCTGCTTTACTTCTGATCCAGCTCTCTGCTGTGGCCTGGGAAAGCAGTGGAGGATGGCCCAAGTCCTTGGGCCCCTGTACCCACATGGGAGACCTGGAAGAAGCTCCCGACTTCTGGTTTTTGGTTGGCCCAGCCCCAGCCATTGTGGCTGTTTGGGGGAATGAACCAACAAATGGAGGATCTCTCTCTGTGTCACTCTTTCTGTCTGTAACTTTACCTTTCAAATAAATAACCATATATTTTTAAAAACTAAAATAAAATAAAGTAACATTTGATTTCCAGGTATTGAGCTGCACTATTTTCTATGAGTCCTCCTGTTAATATACACGAATACACTGGCAAACAGTGAGAACTGAATCTGAGACAGTTACCTTGATGGCTGTGCTCCGCAGGGAAGTGCCTTGTTGTGCTTGAGCAGTAATTACCTGGGGTGATGTCAGCAGCATTTATGCCACTTCTGTGATTTTTAACCACCTGCACGTTTTCTTTCCTGGATGATGTAATTATGTGAGCAAGACCCTCTGGTTCCCTCCCCAAATGCCTGTTATGTTCAGGGTTAGGCCAGGGCCAAAGCCAGAAGCCAGGAAATCAGTACATATTTCTCACATGGCTGACAGAAATTCAGTTATTTGAGTCATCACTACTGCTGCTTTTTAGGGTCTGCATTAGCAGGAAGCTGGGGTCAGGAGCCAGAGCCAGGAACTAACCCAACCACTCTCATGAGGGACACAGGTGTCTTAACTGCTAGGCTAAACAGAAGAGAATAATAAATGGTTGCCTTATGTATTGGCTATTTAAATCTTTCTCATCAAATATCTATGTGGTTTTTTAGTGTAAGTTTCTATTTTCCAGATGGAATTTGTCTCTGAATCCATATAGAAAATCAGAAGGTGCTGATCCATCTCAGGAATTCATTCCTTCCTTTCCCCCATCAGTGGCTTCCTTTACCACTACTTCATATCCTCTTATTTTGTGATAGAGCCCCAGTCATTTCAGCTCATGTACTGCCCAATACTAGTCCACTAATTTTTATTCATTATGAAATGATTACTTATTCTTCATTATAAAAAGGAGAAATCTAAAAATCAGTGCCATGTGTGCATTGGCATTCTGCAAAAATTCGTGGGTGGAATTCTTCCCTGAAGTTTCCTTGTCATGGATTTGAGACAGAAAAACAAGTGCCTATTAGAATGGAACAGCTTGATCCCAGATTTCTCTAATATGTCCATGCTATTATTTTAGGTCTCCGAATTCAATCCTTTGACGTTCACCAGCGTAATCGAGTGTGAGAAGCCAAACAATAACCTGTCTAGGTTTCATGGTTGCATGTGAGTATCATGTATCTTCTCATGCTTTTCTTTCTGTTCAATGAAGTACACACACATACACACAGAGTTGTAAACGTGCATGCAGTACTCTTTGCCATGTGGTACAGTCTCTTGCAAATGTTTCCCAGCACCTGAGCATCCTTGCCTGCTTGTGGAACTAGTTTGCAAGACTCTGCCAGAAGTAGAAACTTACCAGCACCATCCATAATGAAGAGTTACTGCCTCTGCATCCCCTAGTGGGCCCTGGGAAAGTGAGAGGAGTGAAAGGAAGCGTGGCTGGTGAAAAAAACTTACCTGCTTATTCCAATTTTATGAACATTTTAAAATATCTTTGTATATATTGAGCACGTACTATATGCTGAGACCATGTCAAAGCTCTGGATACAGCTTGGTAAACTAAACAGACAAAGTTCCTTTCCCTAATGTTTATTTTATTCTAATCAAGAGTAAAGAGAAACAGTAAACAGTAATTTATCCCTCTATCTGGCTATCCATGGTGTATCTAATAGTCTAGTCTCTCCCTTGCTCTAAAACAGAAAGACAAAAAGGTGAGTAAATGGCACAGGATTTGTTGAAGCTTGACCATGGGTACATGGGAAATAATTATGCTATTCTGTCTACTTTCATGTCTATTTGGAAGTTTCCTTAACAACAACAACAACAACAATAATAATAATGTGAGTATAATCAGTTGGTGTGGCAGGAACAGGGAGTGGCAAGACATAGTTGCTAAGTTGCAAATTGGGGCTATCAAGGTATGGGATCATAAAGAATGAGGCAGGTGACAAGGACCTGAAAGACATAGGTTTGCCCTTCCATGCATCAGCACCTCCTGCAGGCTCATCTCTCTCATCTGGAGAATGTGGGACTTCCTCCCTGCTGCTGTCCTGCTCCACAGTGCCAGTTCACAGTTGAGGCCAGGCTGCTGCTGAGTGGCCCAGTGCAGATTGGCCTTTCCATGGATCTATGGAAAAGAGGAGGAGAGAAGCTGTGCTTCTGAAAATAGGCTGCATTTCTGAGAGCTGTCAGTTTAGGGTGAAGCTTCCGTTAGCTGATTAATTAATCATTAATCCTTGGACCCTACACACAGTAGGCAGCAGTGATGGTGGGTGGTAGTGTGAACCAGTGACTGCAAACTGTTCACAGTAAAAGGTGAACTCTGTGCATCTTCCCCAGGGCCCAGGAGTGTTGTGTCTGTGTTGAGGGGGCTCCCTGGGGGAGATACTCAGCTCTAGTCAAGGGATACAGCCAACCAGTGTTCACTTTCTAAGAAGAAATAGCTAATTAACTTCCTAGCCTCTCTGTTCCTCCAATGAATGTCCTTTCCAACATCCCCATTGGATGGACCCAACCCAAAGCCAAGGTCAGTGGCTGACTTCAGTGTTTTCCAGGCTCAGAGGTAGGCATCAGGGTACAGAAAGGAATAAGACAGGAGGAGCCCTGACTGAAGGTCCTGCAGAGAATCTTCCTAAAGACTGTCAAACCCAAAAATGTTGTAAAACCAGGTTGGAGGGCCAAACTCTTCCAGGCAGAGGCCAGGGTGGGACACACAGAATATGCTGTGTGGGTGACTGGGGCAGAAAGCCTGCACAGGAAGGGCTGAGAATGGGACTGCAGGGCAGACTGGGCCCTGCACGCCAAGCCAGAAGCAAGCAGCCCACAGAGGTTTCTCCCAGGGAAACGGAGAAGTCATTGTGCCCACAAGACTGCTCTGGGGACTCTGTAGGAGACAGACATGAGAAACAAGCCTGCAGATATTGAGGCCAAAATGGTGTGTTGCAGCCTCAGGCAGAGAAATACAGAAGCCTACATTAGGTCAGCGCGGCACATAGTGAGAAGAAGGCTGTGGATTGATCAGAGCCAGTGGGGTGGAGTTAACACTGAGGACAGTGTCTGAGTGGCTGTCACAAGGAGGGAGGAGGGATCAATCAAGGAATCCTGGGTTGCTGGTCCAGGTGACCAGGCTGACTGAAGCCCTAACAGATGAAGCAGAGAGGAGGGCCTAGGTCTCAGGGTGTTTCCGTGACCCGGGGAGGAAGTTGTCTTGAAGACAGCTCTACAAGCTTTCCATCCTCTGGCACTGGATCCTGTGGCTTTGGGCTCTGCAGCCTTGCACTCTTGTGTCTGAGCAGATGGACTTGTACACCTATTGCAGGCTTTTGCCAACATTCTGATAGTCACTGGTGCTCAGCTGTCTTCATAGGCAGGCACTCAGATGAATGAGGCCTATTAATTTTGACCAAGAGCAAGTGCAGCCCAGATGATGTAACACCTTCTGAGAAAGCAAGGAGGGCTGGACATTTATTAACTGAAATCTGCCGTTTCCTAAGGAGCCTGTGCCTGTAGCTCTTTTTAGTGAGTGGTGGATGCTATCAGACAGTCTTCACTCATCATGTTTGGCTTCTGGACAGTTTTGATTTAGAAGAGATTGGCTTGATGAGCCAAAAGGGCTGGGAACTTGAAGTAGGTGAGCTCTTCTAAGAGGCTTGAATTTAGTGTTACAGGATGTGTTCAACCACCAGGGCTGCCTTACCAAGTGCCACAGACTGGGCTCTGCTTTAACAGTTTATCCCCCCCCCCCCTACTGGTCTGGAGCTTAGAAATCCAAGATCAAGCCTTCAGGGTTGGTCTCCCCTGAGACTGCTCTCCTTGGCTTGTAGATCATGTTCTTCTGTCCATGTGTCTCCGTGTCCGCATCTCTCTCCCTATAGGCACCCCAGTCATATTGGGTTAGGGCCCACCCTAATGACCACATTTTAACTTCATTGCCTCTTCAAGTCTCAACACACTCAGAAGCTGAGGTCCTGGGGGCGAGTATTTCAACATAGCAATTCTGAGAGACACAACTTGGCCCAGAGCAAAGGAGCAGTGTTGAGTGCAGTTTGATGGGCTTATGTTGTCACAGAATCAACTCCATGCCTGTTTGGCCATGAGCCTGTTCCACCTTTAGCCAAGTCTCTCTCAGAAATCCAAAGTAGCTTTTTAGCTGCTGAGTTCTGGACCTTCTGGGTGATGCCATTCTCCTGCCTTCCAGCTCCTTCTGAGGAGGGCCCTGTTCATGCAGGAGCAGGTTGCTGTCCCCGTGCACCTGCTGCCTGTCCCTGCAGCACCGTCCAGGCCAGCGTGCCTGCTGGGGGTGCCTCTCAGTCAGGTTTGGTCTAATTAGAAAGCACAGCACAGTCGTCCTCAGGAGAATGGTTTTAGGACCTCCCCAGGATACCAAACTGTGTGTAAACTCAATTCTTTATATAAAAATATAATAGTATTTGCATATAACATGTATATCTTCTCGAATACTTTAAATCATTGCTGTATAACATATGGGACCTTATAAAAATAAGTGCCATGTAAAATATTGTAATACTTATTTTAGAGAATAATAAACAAAAAAAAGTGTCCATGTGTTCAGTGCTGATGTAGTTTTCCCAAGCATTCTCAGTCCTCAGTTGAGTGAAAGTGCAGAAGCTGACTCCTAGGACACAAAAGGAAGGCTGAATGTGAAATACTTTTCCTGCTTCTGTCGAGCTGATCTCTTGTTCTTTGGGAGCATGATGAGAACTCTGAGATGACTCATTCTTTGCGGCTGTCTCAGAGAAATGGTTCCCGGGTCCAGCTGCTCCATGTGAGAAATGCAGCTGAAAGTGTTCTCTCACTCGGGCAGAACGGAGCAGAGTTGCGTAATTAATGATGTCCAGTACATGCTGGTCTCGGTGCTTTTAGCTGGCTGTGAGGTTTCAGCCTTCACCCTGCACTGTAACTGCCTACGTGAGCCACTGGCACGGTGTTGACTCATCATCCCCTGCACATGCCTTAGCGTTTGCTCTGCAGAAAAGCGGCTGCTATGTTGGTAAATAGCACACTTGAAAATAATGCACCCTCCCAACGTGTGTGCTAGCCTTGACTTTATTGTTGAGTTTCCTTTGTTCACCAGAGAATGTATTTGTCCCTCTGGTCAGTGGGTACCATCCTAGGACTTTGCAGGTGGGAAAGCCCTGCCATGCTCCTTGGTGAGCCTCTGGGGATGGAAGAAGAGGCATTTAGATGATGGGTGTGTGGGGGAGAACTGTACCCTGAGGACACAAAAGGGTGGCTGCTTTGAAGACCTTCCACCTTGGAATCATTGCCTGGAGGAGTTTAGGCAAAATCCCTGCCGTATTTCAGGAGGTCTTCAAGACCTCGGCTGAGAGCCACGTATGGGGTTCCCAGGACCATATCTGTCCCAGTGTGGTCCTTGCACTAGCCAGTCTGACCAGCCTCGGCCATTTGTGGGCCAGGAGGACGAGTCTGAGAGTGTGGCTTAAACTTGGGACCATCCTTGAAGATCTACATAGCAATCAAACAGAATGTATAAAATTGTCTCGTGGAGTTTATCGTATTTCAAATTCAGTGTATTAGTATTTCTCACAACTTTACAAGTTTTTGTATGAAAAAAAGAAGCAAAATATGTTGCTGAAACCAATCTCATCCCTCTTCCAGAGCAATGTTTGTGTAGTTTGTCAATGTGAGAGCCGATGAGGAGTATGATTTCCTATACTGAGTAGGGGACATACAGGAGACCCTCCTTGGCCACTTCCTAACTCTGCCCCTCAGATGCAGGGTGGCCCTTCCCAGCTGTGGTCAGTCCCTGGGGTGAAAACCTGTGCAAAGTAAGCAAAGAAGCAGGAGTCTCTTGAGCTGCTTCTGGGTGACCAAATCCTACTGAACTGCTAGCAGCCTCCTCTCACTGGTGTAGACAAGCCACCCACACTGGGGGCTCCTCACGTCCCTTCCTCATCCAGCCTCCCAGCGTTCATGAACTTCTGAGGCATCAGGTCCTTCCTTCCCCAAGGCACAGTTGCTTGAGACCTGAGGCACATACATGCAGCACGTGACGCATGCCCCTGCTCCCCAACAGCATTCACGACAACGGGAAGAAGGCCGCGCTGTATAAAGAAAACCTGCTGCTGCGAGGGTGCACAATCAGGAACACAGAGGCGGTGGTGGGCATTGTCATCTACGCAGGTAGGCACGGGCACCTTCCACTGTGCTCTGTGATGGCGCTGGCTCATCACATGGTGCTCTGTGGACATTTCTCCTCCTTCGTTATTTCTCTGATTATAAGATTGCATATACTCATTGTAGAAATTTTGAAAAAAAAAAGGAGCAAAAGCAAGAAGACATTATTCAAAAGTCTTGGCATTTTAGCCTATATCTTTCTGCTTGTTTCTCCACGATTGTTACATATGTAAGATTGATTTCCTACCCTGCTGTTTCAACCATGCTTATCATATGAGGCTTATTAGATGACGGCATAGTAATTCACTCTTCACATCCCGTCATCACCCCCCGCCCCACCCCGGTCACAGGACATGAAACCAAAGCTCTGCTGAACAACAGCGGACCCCGCTACAAGCGCAGCCAGCTTGAGAGGCAGATGAACTGCGATGTGCTCTGGTGTGTCCTTCTCCTCATTTGTATGTCTCTGTTTTCAGCGGTCGGTAAGTCCCCCAGATGGGTCCCAGGTGACTGGGTGCTATCCACAGCCTGCAAGGGAGCCCCATGCAATGCCCAACTCACTCTGATCCAGCCCTCTTAAGCTCAAACACGCATCACGTTTTTCTCTGACTTAAACCCAAAGGCCGATTGCCACAGCACAAGCCACACTGGGATGCCTAGACGAGCAGGCTCGGCAAAGGAATGGCCTCTGCTTGGCTGAAAGCGTGCTTTGCTTCATCATGGCACTAGGAGTGAATGCAGTGGGAGCTGGGATGAACTAAGGCCAATGGCAGAGAACACTACTAACGGGAACTTCATGAACAGAGAGAATGTGACTGAGATATCAAGAAGGGGCTAGCAATTAGGTCACTCTGAGGGCTGCAGTCCTCTCCCGGTCCTTTGATAAGCAGACCACGTATGGCGCCACAGGAAAGCCATGCAGAGAAGTATGTCATGATCCCAGTAAATGACCTGCACCATGTCCTTGCTCTGCAGCCATCATGTACCAGGTTTGGATGTGACATGGTCTCTGGAGTAGTAGACCCAGATGTACAGGGCATGAAATAGACTTCTGTTATCAGATGGCTGTGTCAACATTGACTTCTCAGAGTCCATATGTGAATTTTTTTTTAATTATTTATTTGAAACAGAGTTACAGAGTGGAAGAGACAGAGAGATAGGAAGAGATCTTCCATCTGCTAGTTTACTCCCCAGATGGCTACAAATGGCTGGGGCTGGGCCAGGCAGAAGCCAGGAGCTCTCCCATGAAGGTGGCAGGATCCCAACTACTTGGGCCATCTTCCACTGCTTTCTGAGGCACATTAACAGGGAGCTGGAGTGGAAGTGGAGCAGTCAGGGCTTGAACTGGCACTCATGTGAGATGCTGGTGTCACTGGCAGTGGCTTAACTCACTACACCACAATGCTGAACCCCAACTCGTGGATTTTGAGTCTCCACAAAGGAACAAATAGGAGCTGTCTCTGGATCCCACTGTTTTCTCGTTAAGCATCTCATGAGACAGAGGTTTTGTGAGCTACAATTGGAAACTTCCTTTCTGGGGGGTTTCATGCTGTCAGCTGCCACATACATGAGTTTCCTGCATTGTGATCAGCAGTGGCACTCAGCACTAATAATGGGAAACTCTTGGTGTCAGGAAGAGTCTCAGTGCCAGTTCTGACCAGCAGTCTGATCACGGGTGCCAAGAATATGGCTATTGCTTTCTTACATGACTAAGCAGGCTAATAAACTGTGTGTGTGTGTGTGTGTGTGTGTGTGTAAAACAGCAGTCTTGAAGTTTTACTTTAAATGCCACTAACAGTGTTCTTTTTTTTCTGTTGGATGAACGCTACGACAGGCCATGGATTGTGGATACAGCGGCATCAAGAGAAGAAAGCACTGTTTGATGTCCCTGAGTCTGATGGCAGCGCCTTGTCCCCAGTCACAGCTGCAGTTTACTCATTTTTGACAATGATAATAGTTCTGCAGGTAACAGTACCAAGAACTGAAGGGTAACCACTTTACTTCTGTGCAGAGAACAGAAACTCCTCACCCTCTGCTATGAGTTTCCTGTAAACTCTCTATCTTAGAGGACCATGAGTGTCTGCCTGAAATACTGCTCTTTATTCTTCCACATAATTCATCTGTAGGATCTTTCCCGGGGTGATGTTCCTGTTAAAATGCTCTTTTGCCGTTCTTAAGACTCTTGTGTTTTGAAGATTTAGTTTAAGCCATCATTTTCATATCCCTGTTTTTCCTTTCAGTTACTTTAATTTTTTTAAATTAGCTTATTGTAGAGGCAGAGAGCCAGAGCCAGAGAGCTCTTATCCACTGCTTCACTCTCCAGCTGGGAGCCAGGGACTCAGTCCAAATCTCCCACAACCATAGTAGGAACCCAATTACTTGTGCCCTCACCACTACCTCCCAGGATCTACACTGGCAGGTAGCTAGAATTGAGAGTGGAGGTCCAATGCAAACCCAAGTACTCCAATGTGGGACATGGGAGTCCTAACCACTAGGCCAAATGCCACCCTTCAGTTATTTAAAAAAATTAATTTGGGAATAATTTTAAGACTTGCAGAAAAGCTGCAGAGATGAATATGGAGAGTTCCCATAGATCCCTCTCACGCGGGTGTATTACACTGACTGCTGCGCTTAGCTGTGACCAGACTCCAGGCATCTTCACCCAGACCCCATCCGTGTTTCCACTGATGTGCCTTTGCTGTTCCAGGCTATCACATTGCATTGTTTATTGTTGTTATGATTACTTTTGCTACTCACTCACATACCTCTCCAGCAACTCCCTGTTGCTGGGACTCTATGCACAAAGGGCATGGTCAAAGGCTGGGGGCAGTCACAGAGCTCCAGAAGGCAGGAGAGGGGGGCGAGGATCACCACCAACCTCCTTGGAAACAAGAAAAGACCAGAGGACACGTGCTCAGCTTTTGCCTATGGGGGAACCTCAGCTGTCTCGTATCGTATGTGCTTCATTCAACAGGAAACAGCCTTATTTAACTTTCCAAAGTGGTCTTTTTTTATGAATACAAATTTCGTTCTGTGTCAGGTTAAGACTACACACACAATAGTTGATGTTCCATTAACACAATGAAGTTATCATGAGAAGTTAGTTAATCAGATGTCATCTTCCCACCCCATAAACATTAGTTTAACGCTGTGTCTCCGCAAAAATAAGTACATGAACATTCATTTCAAGGCGTAACTTTTTCTCAAAGACTTCTTCCCTTTGCTCCATGTTCTACAAGATCACAGCAATTGTCCTTCAACACAAACCAGCAACGAAGCCTCTTCCATTCACCAACTGCTCCTTGAACGGTGGGGTTGTGTCCATGGGAGACAGGCAGCTTCTGTCGCTTGGGCCCAGGGAAAGCCTGAGGGTTGAGTGCCACAGTGCTGTGAGGTGACTTTGCTTATGAGGACTCTGACTGTGCCATGTTTTTTTTTCTCTTTTCTCTCTTTCCTTTCATAGCTACTCTCAAGCACAACTTAGCAATATGAAAACGCTTGCTTCTGTCCAAGCCATGGTTACCATACTTCCAGACACCATAGTGGATTTCCGCTCTTCAGTTGCACCATAGGCTGTCCTAGTTTTAACCCTTTGCAAATGTTCTAATCCTTTTCCAATACTGACTCTAAACCAACCTATTTAAGCTCTTAAAGGTACAGTATAGCCCCTACTTTCTTGTGGTTGTAGTCATACGTCATTTAAATAGATTGGACTAATTCTGCAGCAACCCAGTTCCCACAGCCTTCATTTTGTGCACCTTGTATCTTCCAGGTTTTGATCCCAATTTCCTTGTACGTTTCCATTGAAATTGTTAAAGTGTGCCAAGTATACTTCATCAACCAGGACATAGAGTTGTACGATGAAGAGACAGACTCGCAGCTGCAATGCCGAGCTCTGAATATCACAGAAGACTTGGGGCAAATACAGTATATCTTCTCAGATAAAACTGGCACTTTAACGGAGAATAAGATGGTTTTCCGAAGATGCACTGTGTCTGGCATAGAGTATTCCCATGATGCAAATGGTGAGTCTCAGGGTTGGGGGTTCTTGATCTTGGCTGGACCAGAAAGCTGCTGTATCCATAGCTGCATGCAGACACACACACACACACACACACACACACACACGCTTCAGGAATTGCTGATGTTCAGGGGAGCCTAAGACTGGCTGTCAGGGAGCCGGAAGCCTGGCACTATTTTTAGCACAGGCTGACACTGCCTGCTCGCTGCAGTGTCTGGAGCTGCTGGCATCTGTTGCAGCTCTTGCTGTCTGCCAGGCAAGTGCAGCCGCCTAGCGAGCAGAGCGTCTGCAAGAATGAGGCCTCCAGCCGCTCCCCGCCTGCCATACCACGAGACAAAGATGTTTCTGTTGTCACCCATCTATCTTCTTGTTAGCAGCTGAAAATTCTCAGATGGGAATTGGGTCATTCATGCTGCATTTTTTCCTCCTGGAACGCAGTGCCCGTGGGGGAGCCAGAAAGAAATGAACGGCCTCCCCTCTGATCATGTCGGGCCCCTCCTCCCACCTCTCCTTTCCTTAACCTTTGCTGCCTCCTTCCTGACTCAGGGGAGCTGCCAGCTGCATGAGCCATGGGTGTGGCTGAACCAGCCAGCCCGGACCCAGCCAGGAGAGGCCGCCCTGGTAAGGGTCCCGTGGCACAGAAGTGCTTCCGGGGCCATAGCACCTCCAGCTTGGGTATGGGGGATGAGGATCACCCTGCCCTACAACCAGAGCTTCTGTGACAGCAGCAAAGACCACGAAAGAAGCCATGGCACAGCATCAGCAAATATAAAGTGGGGCAGGAGTGGTCGACAAATGGGTGTTAATAGGGAGCTGCTCCTTAGAGGAATTGGGGGGAAGGGTCTGTGGAAAACCAGAGATTATTGTGAGTTTTGTAAAACCAAGAATTACCATAACATCCACTATCTTCCTCCACATGAAATTAGAGCAGTCAGATTAAGCAGAAGGTGTAGTGTGACATTTAATTTGCCATCCAAAATCAACTGTCAGCAGTGGTCTTGCAGCCACTCACCTCTGCCCCATCCCTGACTGCCCCACCCCCTTCTTCCTGTGTCCCCTTTCTTTCTCTCCTCCTCTTCCTCATCCCTGACTGCTGGCCTTGGTGAGAAATAGTTGGCTTCCAATGTTCTTCTTGGAAGCAGAACTCAGCAGAGTCTTAAAGCGATCAGACACTCAGGAAGACCGTAAGCAGCAGCCTTTTCAAGTTGAGACGTCGTCTAAGGCAGACACGAGGCTAGGTGCATAGCAAGCACAGTGACTACAGTCAACAGTGATGTGTTGGGTATTTCATAATAGCTGAGAGCAAGTTTCAAATGTCTCACCATCAAAAGGTAAGTAAGGGACTGGAGCTCTGGCATGGTGGGTTAAGCCCGCAGCCTGCGGTGCCCAGCATCCCGTGTGGGCACTGGTTCACCTCCCAGCTGTTCCACTTCCAATGCAGCTCTTCTGATGAGCCTGGAAAGGCAGTGGAGGATGGTCCAGGTGCTTGAGCTCCTGCATCCATCTGGAAGACCCTGATGAAGCTCCTGGCTCCTGGCTTCAGCCTGGCCCAACCCCAGCTATTGAGGCCATTTGGGGACTGGGCCAACATGTGGGGGACCTATCTCTCTCTCTCTCTCTCTTTCTCTCTCTCTAGTTCTGCCTTTCAAATATATATGTTAATAATGCATTTATTATTAAAGATTTATTTATTTATTTGAAAGGCAGAGTGAGTGAGAGAGAGAGAGATTCTATCCATTGGCTTGCTCCTCACATGGCCACTGCAACTGGGACTGACCTAGGCCAAAGCCAGGAGCCCGGAGTTCCATCCAGGTCTTCCACATGAGTACAGGGGCCCATGGACTTGGGCCATCTTCCCAGACACATTAGCAGGGAGCTGGATTGGAAGTAGAGCAGCCAGGACTTGAACTAGCACTCATATGGGATGCCATTGTCACAGGCAGCACCCTAATCTATAGTGCCACGATGCTGCCCCAAATAATGAGCTTTTTAAAAAATAATAATATTGGGACCTGAGTCCATGACATGGGGCAGAATCCCAGCTAAGATTCCAGAAAGATTGTGACCGGTGTTAAACACTTACCCTAAAACCAGAGGGTTCTGTGGCCTCTAGAAGACTCCAGAGAGCATTTTGGTGGAGAAAGAAGCAACCGTGCTACTCAGCATGCTTTAAAGAGGTGACCAGATCAGCAACTGATAGGCATCCAGGGCACAGAGCATCTTCATTCAACTAATACCATAATCTGACCTCTCAAGATCACACAGTAAATGAATTCCAGTGGGTTTGACTCTGAGCATGGAGCCCGCCAGGACATGCAAGGGGACCGTGGATGTATCCTCTCTGGACCCGAGACCTGTAGGTGGCTGACCATGCATGCCCAAGGCTAGGCTTCACCTCTCTGTGCCTCCTTTTCCCAAAGGCATCTCTGAGGACACTGCTGGTCGGAAAGTACTTCAGACCAAAATAACAGCTGCAGCCCCAGGCCTGGCCCCACGGCTTCCAGGAAGGAGGAGGCTCTGGATTGGCTGCCTTGAACTCGAGCCTGTGGTGACCACTGTTGGAGGAGAGTGGGATGGGCAGGTCAACCCTTCTGGAGACTGGAGCCAGACTCCTCATTCACAAGCTTAGAAGGGGACACAGTCACAGTCCAGGCTCTTGTCTACCTGCCATCCTGCTGTCACCAGTCTGGGATCTCTGTCACCCCAGAGCTGGCGGGATGATGGAGAGGAGTCAGATAACTGGGTTAGATAACTCCTGAGTTGGGATCCTGGCATTCACAAGTACTGGGCCATGTGACGGTGGGCAAGTAGCTTCCCCTCCTTCTCCTGTTGTTGTTGGTTTTTTTTTTTTTTTTTTTTTTTTTTTCATTTCTAAAGGAAGAGGTATTAGGACATGCTTAATATAAAGGCCTGGCTCACACTGCTGACCAGGGCTACTGCATCCCCTTCTTGGGGGACCTCTCAGATGGTTTGGAGTTAGGGTGCCTTGTGCTTCTGCCCAGCACAGCACTTGTGCTTGAAGTTCTGATTCAATGCATGCTTTGATGGGTAAGCCTCATGCGTAGTCTCCTTGTTGCATATCCATGATGAAACAAGATGTCCAGGAAAAGGTGTTCAGTGCCATCGCTTAGCAAGAAATGGCAGTGCAGGTGCCTCTTCCGGTCACTCACCCCGCGCCCACGTGGCTGTACAGCTGCTCAGCTGCATCCCCAAAGGCTCAGGGGCAGCATCGCAGTCAGGAGGAGCCTCGCTGGCTCACTGGGTGGTGCAACCCCTGGAGTGTGTGTCCCTGCAGAGGAGGTCTCAGGAGGAAAGTGAGCCCGCCTGCTTCATCTTCACAGGGGCCAGTGTAGATGCTACCTATTGTTCATGTGATCTGAGCAGGGGGCCCAGCATGAAGGAGCAATGTCATCCTGGCTGATGTCCCATGCATTTCTGATTGGTACCGATGCCTCGTATGCCCAGAAGGCCCTAGTGAGGCAGGCAGCCCCGTGACCCAGCCTGATGGGCAGATCTTAAGTGGCATCACATGGGCCACGCCTGTACAGTATATGTCTTCCTCCCCACCACCTGTTGACCCCAACCCCACATACACCCAGGCTTAACCTGAACAGAGGAGCTGTCCCTAATCCCACTGTGTCCACCCATGACTGTGTGAGAGGGGATAGAGTGGCCACCATCCCATAATAAACAGGACCCAGAGTTTAGTGTCCTTTAGGCCTGGTGCCACCCTCATTGCACCTGCCCCTGTGTTGTGTTACCTTTGCAAGTTCTCTGAGAAGAAACTTGGTCTTCTCATCTGTGAAATGGGGTTGGGAATATCAGTCTCCTCCAGTTAACTGAGGGTGCAGATAAACAAAAATGTACTCCATCCCTCAGTCACCGGAAATGCGTTAAATGTGGCCGTGCCATTAGGGACCAGGTGGTGTGTGCTGCCAGAAGCCTCATGGGACCTAGAACACCCTGAATCGGTTCCCTTAACCTGTGTCCTTTGCCCCACAGCCCAGCGCCTGGCCAGATACCAGGAAGCAGACTCAGAGGAGGAGGAAGTGGTACCCAGAGGGAACACAGTGTCGCAGCGTGGAAGCATCGGAAGCCACCAAAGCATCCGGATAATGAGCAGGAGCCAGAGCACCAGGTCCCACCGGCGCACGGGCAGCCGGGCTGAGGCCAGGAGGGCCAGCATCCTGTCCAAGCACACGGCCTTCAGCAGCCCCATGGTGAGTGTGCAGGCCCCAGCGCCCGGACCTCCCAGAGGCCAGGGCTCGTGCTGGCTGTGGCCACCTTCCTCGCTGCTGCTGTTCCCCCCACTTGCCAAGTGTCTGTTTGATCATACATGGCCGCTGATGCCGGGTGGTTTGGCTGTCCTCAGGCAGGGGAGGTGTTTCTGGCCAACACCTTCTCTCCACTGTTGTATCTTTTCCAAGGCACCAACATGGTTCCCTTGCCACAGGCTCTGTGGCTGGGTGTTGCCAGGTGACCACCCAAGAAAGGAGACTGAGAGGAAGCCCACCTTGCCAAGTGAAATGAATAAAACATCAGAACAAGATGACAACTGTGAAAAAGCCAAGCCAGCGCTCCAAAAAGAGATTAATTCAATGAGCCCAAATCCAATAAAACTACTTCTCTCCTTGCCTCGTCAGCTGTCCGAAATCCATGCGCTGCTGTCATAAAGCAGGGAACATTCCCGAGGCGAAGGACAAGCTCTGAAAGGTCCTTTCACTTCAGACATGGTTTAAGAGCAGAGGAGGAGAAACCATTTTGCTCACTGTGCAGTGGCCTCGTTCTTTTATGTCCTTCTAAAAACCCATTTAGAAGCTGCCATTGACATAGGAGTGGTCTAGAATGACGGGAGATCAGTGAGTTTACACAGGCACCTGGGGGGTGAGGCAGGCACACAGGAAGGCTGTATGAACAGCTTTCCCTGACAGTATACACCCAGTGTGTCAAGAGCACTTGAAGCACTCAAAGTTTCTGACCTTGCAATTAGTGACTCAAAGATCACCATACACACAAGTGTATCCATGTATTATCTACATCGCAGAACAGTGAAATTTAAATATCCAGTGATAAAGGGGTGATCAAATACAGTTGGAGGTTAACAAAATGTGTTTTCAGAACTGGCATTTGGCATAGTAGTTAAGACACTGCTTGCAATGCCCACGTTCCATATCTGGGAGCCAGCAGGTGATGTCTCAAATGTTTGGGTCCCTGCTGTCCAAGAGGGAAGCCCAGACTGAGCTCCTGGCTGCTGGCTTCGGCTTGGCCTCACCCCTATTGGGAACATTTGGGGAGTGAGCCAGTGGATGGTAGATCTGTCTATCTGTCTCTCCATCACTTTGACTATGACTTTCAAATAAAATAAAAATCAAAGTTTATAAATGTGTGCTTTTAAATAATTCTTCAAAGAATAGAAAAGTTATAATATTTGGGGGAAATGGAAGCCACAAATTATGTATAAAATAGCTTATTATGTAAAATTTAAATGTAGAGAAAAAAAGACTAGAAACAAACACAGAAGCATGTTTCTCAAAGAAAATCTTATTTTGTGGAGTGACAGAACACAGAGTTGTTGGGATTTTCTAGAATAATATTTGCTGCTTTGTAATAATAAATTCTATTATTTTAGAAAGACATGTAAGAATATATGCATTTCTTTCCACGTGTAATGATTTTTTAAAGAAATTTAAGATTTATTTTGTTTGTTTGAAAGGCAGAGTTACAAGGAGAGAAAGTGAGACAGAGATCTTCCATCCACTGGTTCACCCCACAAAATGGCCACAATGGCCAGGGCTGGGCCAGGCTGAACCAGGAAGCAGGAGCTTCTTCCAGGCACATTAACAGGGAGCTGGATCAGAAGCAGAGTATTTAGGACTCAAATTTGTGCCCACATGGGATACCAGCATCACAGGCAGCAGCTTAACCCATTACAACACAGTGCCAGTCCCTGAGTGATATTTTTTACAAATTACACACATATTTTTAAAAATTACCCTTGAGTGTACAAGGGTGTTTCAAAAAGCTTATGGAAATGTGCATTGTGAAAAAACTATACATCAATTTCAGAATCAGCCTTTCTCTTAGCCCCACTTTTCCGTGAGGGTTGTGAAGTACCTGTACACATGGGATGAGGTTTGTTTACTGCTTGAATAAAATCAGAGTGCTTTAAACAGCCTCGCCCAGGATGCCTAGCAGGTTACCAGTCACACTCACTGCTCACCCGCATCCTTTACAGGAGAAAGACATTACGCCCGACCCGAAGCTGTTTGAGAAGGTGAGCGAGTGTGACAGGTGCTTGGCTATCTCGAGGCACCAGGAGCACCCGCTCGCTCACCTCTCCCCGGAGCTGTCCGATGTGTTCGACTTCTTCATCGCGCTCACCGTGTGCAACACAGTAGTCGTCACAGCCCCGGATCAGCCACGGCAAAAGGCAAGTTGTGCAGTAGCCCAGAGGGCACGCAACACCTCGAGGCCCCTCCACGACCCTCCATTGTCAGTCTTCCTGAGGGCCCATACTTTCCTGTCTTACAAGGAACCCAAATTAAAGGGGGACGCAATAGGGCGCTTCCTTCAGCTGGAGCACACAGCAGAATGGTTCTGCAGTGGGTGGGGTCAAGATTAGGGTCAAGTGTGAAAGGACAAATGGGCGGACAGGGGGAGCCTCTGAGTCAGGGACAGGAAGGGTACAGAGCAGCTGGCCTGAGCACTGGCCTGTAGCCGGCCGGGGAGTTCTGAGAGCAGCCCCCATCCTGTCCCTGCTCTGCTGCTTCCGCTGCATGGCTCAGGCAGGGGCAGAGGGAGGCTGCCAAGATGACCAAGCCAGAGACTCGAGGTCTCAGATGCACACAGAGGAGGACAAGGCGGGCTGGGGCCCAGGCTCTAGTCTGAGATGCTTGGACTTGATCCTGACTTTATCAGCTGTGCAGCTTTATTTAGTCAAATCAGTCTCTTCCTTGTGGCTGAGGGATTTGGATCCTGGATTTGTCTATGTGTTTCATTTGGCAAGAAAGATTATGTAGAGCTTAGGAATGTGATTTGTATATGTGATTTTTATGGATATAATTCAAAGGAGTGCAGAGGCTGATCTTTTGCTAAGTAGCTTTGTAAGTTTTTATTTTTTTATTTGAAACAAACAGAGAGAAATCTTCAATCCTCTGGTTTACTCCCCAGATGTCTGCAATGACTTAAGCCAGTCTCAACATCAGTCTCCTTCATGGGTGGCAAGGAACCAACTGCCTGAGAAATCACCTTCTTCCTCCTGGGGCGGGCATTAGCAAGAAGCTGGATCGGGAGTGCAGCTGGAACACAAACCCAGGCGCTCCAATATGTGATGCGGGCATCCCAAGCAGCATCTTAGCAGCTAGGTGAAATGCAGGCCCCACAAGGAGCTTTTTATGTGGGGAGGGAAATGCCTAGTTTAGTGCCAGGCAACAGCAGACTCACTACTCTGGGCCTTTCATGCAAAGCGATGAGACACTGTGGTAAGGGACGGCGTCACAGCCTGTGGGTGCCATGAGCTGCACTCTCCTCTGCATATATCAGCTGTGGGCCCTTGTGATCTTTTCCTAGAAGAACAGTGTTGTGGAGGAGGGCATCGTGGAACAGCGGGTTAAGTCCACACTTGGAGCATCCATATACCCTACTATGCCCGGAATCGAGTCCCACCTCTGTTTCCAGTCTGGGGCCCTGCTGATGCACACCCTGGAAGGAAGCAGATGATGACTCAAGTTCCTGAGTTCCTGCCACCCACATGGGGAGCCCAGATTGGGTTCCTGGCTCCTGGCTTCTGGCTTCAGCCTGACCCCGCCCCAGCTTAGATGCTGATGTGGGCATTGTGGGCTTTGGGGGAGTAGTCTAATAGGTATAATCTCTCTCTAAATAAATAAATAAATAAAAATAAACTTTTTAAAGAATGGTATTGTATAACCTTTCAAATTAAGAGAAATAGAAGAGATCAGGGTCAGCGCTGTGGTATAGCAGGTAAAGCGGCCGCCTGCAGAGCCAGCATCCCATATAGACGCTGATTCAAGTTCCAACTGCTCCACTTCTGACCCAGCTCCCTGCTAATATGCCTGGGAAAGCAGTGGAAGCTGGCTCAAGTCCTTGGACCCCTGCACCCGTATGGGAGACCTGGAAGAAGCTCCTGGCTCCTGGCTTCGGATCGGCCCAGCTCTGGCCATTGTGACCATTTGGGGAGTGAACCAGTGGATGGAAGGCCTCTGTTTCTCTCTGCCTCTGTCTCTGCCTCTCTGTAACTCTGCCTTTCAAATAAATAAATAAATATTAGCGAGAGGGAGGTGGGGGGGGGGAGAGAGACAGAGACAGAGGGAGAGAAGTAGAAGAGGTCAAAGGATGGGTCTCAATGGAGAACATACTGACTCTGGTTGCAATTTTCAGTGCATGCCCCAAATTAGGAAAATGAGAAGTTGTGTGCCGATGGCCTCTGGGAAGTGTAGGCCATCATCTCACCACGCCTGGAGCGTCCTGTGGGAGGTGGGGTGGGGCCTCATGGTGATTCCCTCACCTTTCTTCTGACTCCGTCTCTTGCAGGTGAGGGTGAGGTTTGAGCTCAAGTCCCCCGTGAAGACGATAGAAGACTTCCTGCGGAGATTCACTCCCAGCCGCCTGACCTCAGGCTGCAGCAGCATCGGGAGCCTGGCCACCAACAAGTCCAACCACAAATCAAACCCCAACTTCCTGCCCAACCTGCCCAACGACAGCACACTTCTCGGGCTGGAGGAGAAGCTGGACCAGTCCGAACCAACCATTGCCAGCAATGGCTTCGGCACACAGTCGGAATGCTGGGCCCCAGAGCAAGCCCGGGAGCAGAAACAGGTGTCGGAGGTGGAGCAGGAGCGAGAGCTGCGGTACGAGGCGGAGAGCCCGGACGAGGCGGCCCTGGTGTATGCGGCCAGGGCCTACAACTGCGCGCTTGTGGACCGGCTGCACGACCAGGTGTCTGTGGAGCTGCCCCATCTGGGCAGGCTCACCTTTGAGCTCCTGCACACACTGGGCTTCGACTCTATCCGCAAGAGGATGTCGGTGGTGATCCGGCACCCGCTCACTGACGAGATCAATGTCTACACCAAGGGGGCCGATTCAGTGGTCATGGATCTCCTGCTGCCCTGCTCCTCAGGTACCCCCTCCCCTCCACATGGCCACAGCCCAGCTCTGGGGAAGAATTTTTGAGAACTCTGCCTGCCCCGTCCCTTCGCAGGGAGAGAGTGATTTTCATTCATCCTTTTGCTCATTTGAAGGGTTCGCACTAGAATGCATTCAGGGGCTGCCGATGACTAGAATTCACCCCTCAGAACAGCAGGGTTAGGCATTGCTTGAGCTGTGCCAGATTTTAAATCTGGAAGGTGAAGGTTGAGAACTTTATGCTTAAAGTTCTGGAAGGTTCCTTCCTGCCTGGGGTGCAGTTTTCAGCCCATTTGTGGAGCTGCTCTGGGCCGTAGTGGAGGCCCAGGAAGTAGGAGCCGCTGGCCTGTGTCCATCATCCTTGCCCCGGCTCTGGGCCACGCTGCTCTCTGTGTTCCATAGTAGAGTGTTCCACATAACTTTGCGGCTGAAAAAGAGGAGTTTCAAAACCTGGTGTGGAAGATGGAATTTCAGCTAGCAAGAGAGCTTGCAAATCACTTCAGCTAGAAATATTGTTGGACTTAAGGAAGGAAGGGTCAGGGGCCAAACTTGTAAAGCAAACCTGGTCTCCCCTCCCTCCGTACCAGGAGTGTGTCTCACCTCTTTGCAGCAGGAGCAAGGTGGAGGCGAGGATGCCCCCAGGCAGCTGGGCGGGGATCACAGCCTTCCTATTTGCTGTATCATAGAAGCAGTCAGGTGGCACTGGCTGTGAAATGCCACGAACTGGGAAGCCCCTCCGGAGCTCTGGGACAGCGCTAGGGAACACTTCACCCCAGTGCACTGCAGGACCTTTGCCGAAAGGAAAGTCACATCCCCCCCACGAGCTCTGATCTCCAGAAGCAGCTGAGCTATGTTTGCAGATGTGTCTCTGAAAACGGTTTGAATGACCTCTCCTGGTGACAGCCACCTAGGGAGCAGGATTGTGCCCTCCACTCCTACAGTGATCGCCCGCGGTAGTTCCGCCCAGCGTCGGCCCAGAGTCCAATCCATGGGCTGATTTTGCATTCCAAGAAGCTTCTTCATTCTGACATTTAATTCTTATTTATACACACACACACACACACACACACAACCATAGGACTATTATCAGAGGAGATTTTGTTCTACTGCAAAAAAATGACCTCTGTGTTCTTCCACAGCCTTGCATTAAAGACAGAGTAATGCATCTCTGTGTTTCAGATTTTTAACACACACAGGGTCATGTCTAAGGCCCAATGCACTAGTTCTCACATGCTAGGAGGCAGGAGGAGAGCCCATCCAGTCCCAGAGGGAGAAAGCAGGAGCAGGAATCCACAGCGGTTGCCACACTTGTACTTTGCTGGCTGTATATTTCTTTCATGAGTATAAAATCTCAAATTTATAGGCAAAACACAAATAAAGCTGTCACTAACTCTCACTAGTACCATCATTTCATAAATGAAGGACATTCTGACATTCTTCCCCTCCCCCCAAAATAACGATTATCCCAGAAAAGCGAATGTCTTCCATTTGAATAAACTGAGCATCGTGATGGCTTACTGCCCTCTTCCTGCTTTGCCCATTATATGCCAGAGTGGAAAGGGCATAAGCAGGGTTGATGTGGGCGAACAGGGCCAATGTAGCCGCCCATGGCTCCTAAGGGTGCTGAGGCTTCTCTTGGGCAGCGTCTACAGGGCAGGAAGGCACCTGACGCTGATTTCTAGACAGTCGACACCTCCCCCTTCTCTGCCTCAGAATCAGCCTCAGAGCCAGGCTGGGAGCCTTGCGCACCCTCCGCCTGGCCCTGCAGCCTCATCGTGGCCTTGCTGTGCGCCCACATCCTCCTGTGCATCTCCCATTGCCAGGGCCATGGAGGAAATGCAGATAAGAAGGAGCAGAGCCTCACATCCCTTGCATCCCAGAAGGGCCAGGCAAAAACATTACTATAATTCTCACACTGTCAACACCATGACCTTGAAATTTAAAAACTAGCAGCTAGCACTGATCTCCACCTCTCCCTGGGAAATTTCTCGGGGAATTCTCAGGCAGTGTGCAAATTGGGGTTTGGGTAGGGAAAAATAACACATAAACACTGGTCAGGTTGATGCTCAGGAAACTCAGAGACCTCACTGGTTTCCGATGCAAAGGCTGTTAGGAAGGCCCTGGGGTTGGCCAGGAGTTTCCCACCTGGTCACCCTGACCTTACACACAAACTGTTGGGCTTTGACCTTGGAGGAGCCCGGATGAGTGTGGATAAGAGTGGACTTCTTACAAGTGGTTAACTGTGTCCGAGAATCAGAGCATTTGGCCAGAATGCCCTCCCTGTGTGCAAGTGACAAGCTGAGGAAGGCACACAAATGTCAGTCCTGGGATTTAATTTCTGTGTTGTTCTTCAAAGAGTTTACAGCACTTTTATTGTAAGAGGTACGAGTTGGCTAAGCTGACAGTAGACAGTAGACAGCTGTGTTGGAAGGAGTAGTCTGTTGTATTAGAAGACATGGCTGTGTCTTACCTGCCCTGACAGGGAGTGGTGTGGTATCAAGTAGAAAGCACAGACTCCACGCTGTCCCAGTGGTCACAGCCTTCTGTTCAAATCCCAGGTCTGCACTTACTGGCTGGAGTGACCCTGGACAAGTCACTCACTCTTTCTGTGTCACCATTCCCTCTCTGTACAGAGGAAATCTCATTGTCAGCCCCACAGGACTCCCCATCTAAGGCCCTGGCATATTGCCTGGTTTAACGTAAACAGGCAACATAAGCTAGGTCTCTTTCCCATCTCACTCCTTCCCACTCTCGAGTCACATGTTCCTGGTTGTTGGAGCTGCCTCTCTGCGTCTTTAAGGCATAAACCCTCAGCCCACTCTGCCTTTCTCCCAGGGCCAGCAGCCCACCTCTTGGCATGGGCCTCCCAGATTGCTACTATTCAAGGAATGAGTAAAAATGTTCTTTGAGTGAATTAATAGGTACATGAAAGAGCCACAGGTTCACCTTATTTTAGTTTACCATCCTAGCAAGACCAGACTCCTTATTGGTAAAGTTTTGTTTGTAAAGCATAGAAGAAATACAAATACCACTTAGAGCAATTTGCAAACACATATCAAAATCATGAAGACCCATCTCTGTCTTGCCTGTGGGTTCTGAGTGTCACCAGCAGTGTCCTAGTGGGAACTCCAGGTGCATCTTGCGTCAGCCCTGCTGTGTCCTGAGGTGGTGGACGTGAGTCATATTTATTTACAGACCATGGCAGAAGCTGCTGCTGTCTGGCAGTGTGCCACCTACCTGTCCAGGTCCCAGATGAGGCCTCAGGGCCCTTCGGCACATGGCCCTCAGCCACCATGCTCAGCCAGCAGCAGTGCTGGGCAGCGCTGGTGTCACCTCTGCATGGGGTGTGGCTTCACTACCCAAGGCACTGAGCTCCAGACGAAAATTCCTCCTATTATAGGTACAAAACATACAAAAGACCTGTTTGTTGCTAATATCAGAAAGGAGGGGGGAGTTGCTGAGATTTCCTGGATGTCACCTGAAATGCAGTTAGTATTATCATGCCTTTAGCCTAAAATTGGCAACCACAGCCCTGCCCCAGCAGGCACAGGTGAGCCAGGTGCACCAAGGCCTCGGCTCCCTTGGCTCCACTGTGATGGTCTTTACGGAGCCTGAGTTCTTCCTGCCATCCTGACCCCTCCCCCAACTGTGGTCTGAGCCCTGCATTCACAAAGATTCAGTCCTACCCATCCCAGCATGGGTTTATCCCAGTAGCTATGCGTTCTGTGGTGCAGCAGGGACCTATAAAGGGGAAGTTGCCTGACAGTGAGAACCAGTTTCCTGTTGGAAGTGCCACAGAGGTGTGTCCCTTTGTCTGGAGGAGGGAACGGAGCCATGAGCCATGAGCCATGAGCCCAAGCAGGGCTAGGTGCTCTCTGTTTCTAGACCCTGTGCAGATGGCCCCACACAGACACAGTCCAGCGAGCACCTGAGAAGGGGGTACTTGTGTGATGGCTTCCTTGTCCCTGGCACCTACAGTCCTGAACAGCCTGGCTCGCCACCTCTGTCTACTCAGTTACTTCTGATGAATGTGGCTGATCTCAGACTTGCACCCCTACTCCTCCCAGCTGGCCCTCCAGTCCCTCCCCTCTCCCTGGAACAACTAAAGTGTCTTTATTATGACTTTTAATTTCAGAGCCCCGCCCACCCAGATAGGCACCTCTGTGCACCTTTGCTCAAAGGACAATCAGAATCTGAGAACAAGTGACCCGCAGCCTCTAGGAGCGTCGGCCAGAGAGCAGGGCTCAGTGAGAGTCGGAATTAGGATGACGCTGAGCATCCTGTTTTCAGGACGTTTGAATATCTAAAGCAAAAACCCTTCTGTTTTCATTGATATCCCCTTAAGGGGCATTGTTTTGCAGACATTTTGTTTCTAATTGTCTTCCCGTGACATTTTCATCCCAAAGATGTTGTGTGTTTCTGTTAGGGCACTGGATGTCTGTCTGTGCTTTATACGTCAAATAGTGAGGCTTCCCACCCGAGACCCAGCTGTCACATGCATAGAGAATGCACAGTCCAGGAGATTAAAGAGGGTTCCTTCCCCAGGACAGGGGCCTCAGGCCTGGTGGGTACAGTTGCCAGATTAGCAAACCGATTAATGACTGGTTACATTTGAATTTCAGATAAACAACAAATCATTTTTTAGCAAAAATGTGTATTATGCTGTATATAAGTACCTTTTATTTTATCTGGCCACACTACGTGTGAGGGCTGTTCTGGGGAGCAAACTGCATTTTCTATGAAAGATCACTCTCATAGATGGGACAAAGGAGCACCTGTGTTTAGTGGGCTGGACAAAGAGACGCCAGAACTCTTTGACATTTTCATCACTTGTCGTTTCAACAAAGGAGATTAGAGACAGCCAATGCAGGCATTTTCATGAAGCTCTTCTTAGACGTCACAGCTGGTTTTTATTTTGAATTTTATATGAAAACACTTGCACTATTTGCAAGCCATGAGAGGGACACAGGGTTAATCCAGGAACTGCTGGGGGCCCTGGGCTTTGCGCTGTTGTACCTTCTCACCCGGGTTTCTGCTTGTGCCCCAACCTAGATGACGCCAGAGGAAGGCATCAAAAGAAGATCCGAAGCAAAACGCAGAATTACCTCAACCTGTATGCAGTGGAAGGCCTGCGCACCTTGTGCATTGCCAAGAGGGTGAGTGGCGCCACCCCCACAAGGGCCCTCCAGCCCTGCTGCACCTGCAGGGTGCAGCGCTGGACCCACACTCAACAGCGTGTCTCGTGCAGGTTCTCAGCAAAGAAGAGTATGCCTGTTGGTTGCAGAGCCACTTAGAGGCAGAATCTTCTGTGGACAACCGTGAGGAACTCCTCTTCCAGTCTGCCTTGCGCCTGGAGACAAATCTGCACCTGCTAGGTATGACACTTGTGGCCTGCCTGTCGTACAGCTCAGTGACAAGTTTGCAGAAATGGCCTGGTGAGGGAGGTGATGTGGCTGTAGTCGGTGGCTGGATGGGACCCACTGAACTGGGACCCTCCCAGGCTGGTCAGGCCTTGATGGAACATTCTCCCCGTGGCCCGCATTGCTGCACTCCTCAACTTGCCTTCCCTTAAACTTAGCTTTTCCACAAAATATGGAGATGAAGAGCAAGCCATGTGGCAATTAGTGGTGGGAAAGATTTCTCCCCTCTGGGAAACAAAGGGAAATGGCTGACATGCAGGGATGGCTGCATTTTGAATCTCATGAATATTTCACAGGTGCAGTTGGAATGAAAAGAAAAGGAAAGCTAACTCCGTTTCAGCAAAATGTGTTCATACATCCTATTCTGTTCATATTACATTTATAAATGCTGATTCATATAATAAAATATGGCACTTAATGCTTTTATATTTATTTTAATATTTCATTTAACATTTTAAATATTGAATGAATTCCATATTCATTGCAGTAGTTATTAAATTAGCTGAGCCTCTGGGTGTGTGCCCTGTGTGTTGTCATGAGGAGTTAGTTAGGACGGTGCTGTCTATGCATCCCCTCCACCCTGGGGTGGCTTGGTCAGAGAATGCTTGTGCTGCACAAAATGCCTGGGAGTTCATCTTTCTTCATTTGACACAGAAAGGCTGTCATCCACTTGGCCTTAGGCAGAGGAGTTGGGAAACCTTATCTGCATATAAACATTTCTAATCTGATTTAAAGTTAGTTGATGATAACTAATATTATTTACTAGCACACTGTACAGTAGATATAATGAATATGCACTTACTTCATATGCAAGGCATCAAAAAATTATGGAGGACTTGCATTATAAAAGAACTATGTATGAAATTCAAAACTATTTTGCACCAAGATACTCTTTTAATTTCATTTTACCATGAACTTTTTGAAGTATGCTTATCTAATATTCTATTTTGCCCCCACCATTTAATTTTTAAAAATTTATTTATTTGAAAGGCAGAATTAAAGAGAGAGAGGGATCTTTCATCCTGTGGTTCACTCCCCAAATGGCCACGATGGCCAGGGCTAAAATCCGGGAGCTTCCTCCTGGTCTCCCACATGGGTGTAGGAACCCAAGCACTTGGGCCATCTTCTGCTGCTTTCCCAGGTGCGTTAGCAGGGAGCTGGACTGGAAGTGGAGCAGCCAGGACTTAAACTGTCACCCATATGGGATGCTGGTGTTGCAGGCTTCAGTTTTACCCGCTACGCCACAACACTGTCCCTGCCCCACTATTTTTTTGTTTTGTTTTGGTTTTTTTGACAGGCAGAGTTAGACAGTGAGAGAGAGAGAGAGACAGAGAGAAAGGTCTTCCTTCCGTTGGTTCGCCCCCCAAATGGCTGCTATGGCCGGCATACCGCGCCGATCCGAAACCAGGAGCCAAGTGCTTCCTCCTGGTCTCCCATGGGGTGCAGGACCCAAGCACTTGGGCCATCCTCCACTGCCTTCCCGGGCCACAGCAGAGAGCTGGCCTGGAAGAGGAGCAACCGGGACAGAATCCGGCGCCCCAACCGGGACTAGAACCCAGGGTGCTGGCGCTGCAGGTGGAGGATTAGCCTAGTGAGCCGGGGCGCCGGCCCTGCCCCCACTGTTTTATAGCAGGCCATGCATTACTCATAAAATACTGGAATCCAGAAGCCCAACAGCATAAAGAGCAGTATCCCTAGATGTAAATTAAATGAAACACCTCAAAAACGGCTGTGTCTGGTTTAGGCTGGCAGGTTTTAATTCACTGAAGCCATCGAGCATGGACTTGACAGAGAGTCACTGTGTGCAGACCTGGGGCATAGGAAGGGAGCCCCGCTGGTTCTCCTGGACCCACCTGCCTGCCTGGCCTCTGCCCAACCTGTCTTTGAACCTTGACTGATGAAGGCTGTCTCTTGTGGGGCGGGAGGCATCTTAGCTACTGAACATACTCAACAGCCCTAACTTCTCAAACAGAGTGAAATCTTTCCCCCACATCCTTTTCCCAGTGGGCGCTTGTCCACTTTGTGGAGCAATGCAGGCAAAATGTCTTCCCTTTTCCAACTGATGAGACCTCAGCTGATGGACAATGGCCATGAGTCACTGAGCTGTGCCTTCTGCACTGCCCCTTCTCAAAGAGTCTAGGAGCCCCGGCCCCTTGTGCAGTCTTGGTTCTATCATTTGCTGATCATGAAAGCTTGGACAAGTGGTTCAGTCTTTTCCACATCCCAGTTTCCTTATCTGCTACTATGGGATGATACATCAATGGACGCAGGTCCTGGGAGGGGGTCAGGGGCATATGGTGCTGGCACCAGCTCTAGCACTCAGGTGATGGTGTGGTAGAGAGTCTCAGGTTATTGCATCGACATGTGTGGCAGCCTGGCTGGGCCTCTTCTCTGTAGACCCTGGTGGCCTGGCATCCATTACCTCTCTTGGCCTGGATGCTGTGTCTCCATGAACACAGCCTAAGTTTTGAACAACTATAGTACATTCCAGGCTGAACTTGAACTTGGGATTAATTCACCTTCCCAGATCTATTTCACAGAAATGTCTTCCTGGCTTAGATTCTATGATTTTTTTTTTAACTTGGGCAACTATGTAAAACATCTCAAAGGAGGGTTGTGTACTTATCCCTTGTTCCAGTTCTTTCTTTTATTGTCAGTCAGTGTCTTAGCTATTGACATGTTTCAGAATCCTGGTTTAGCTGGGTTCTGATGCCCTCCTGGGACAGAGGGCTTTGCTCCAGGGGCACAGGACAATGGCTCTGCACCACTGGAGGAACTACTGGATTGTCCACAGTGGGCACCAACAGTATACTGGAACCTGCTCATGCCCACTGGCAAGAGCCTGTTAACAAATTTTCAAGAAATTTGCCATTCTGCATAAATTTTCAGAATTTTATACGACCTTTAGATGGTAGATTGAAACCAGTCAACGCGGGAGTATTTACACCCCAGAAATGGGCAAACCCGACACATCAGCCTACCTCCCACGCCCGGCTGTTAACTCTTTACCACCTCCTACTGCCTGACCTATTGATGTTCCACATCATGGGCCCTGCGTTCCCACTCTCAGCTTCATTATTTTGAAGAGCAAAGTGAGCCCTTTATATTTTTCATATCCCGGAGCCAAATACTCCTTTCAAAAAATTTTTTTCTTTTAGATGCTTAAGTTAAATAGCATCCAAGAACCACACATAAATATGTTCAGCAGAAAGGATTACCATTCACATGGTGTTCTGGAAATTTTTCTTTCCATCATGCTCTGGCCGAGAACCTACATTCAAAGGACCACGTGCTGCTCGTTTCCCTCGGGGTTCTTGTGGGCTTCCCTGAGTGTCACGGGAACTGCTCCATGGGTCGCAGCACTGGCACACACTGATGCATAGCAGCACTAGCTTGGCTGCAGATGCTCCCAGCTCCCCAGGTTCTAGCACTTAGAAACGCCAGGTGCTCCCGAGGCTCAGGTTGTAAAGGAGGTGGTGTTTACTCAAAGTCACGTAAATTATACCACAAACAAGTTACCTTGGAAGGTGCAAGAAAGACACTGTGCTCAGATCTTTTTAAAATGACTGCTCCCTCAGACTGACTCTTTCCCTCAGATTATGCCTAGGTGAGCTTACTGTCTGTAAGTCTATTTGAGTTTAATTTATGCCTGTGTGTTATAGAGGGTCATTGAGGTGACCAGGAAGTGCCTTAATACTTCAGCCAATTAGCTTTGGAACTAGAGAAGTTGTGTTTTCAAGGTGTTGAGTTTTCCCTAAGAAGACACAGACTGCTTCCAGATTGAGGTTTACCTGGGAGGCCTTTGATACCTTTCTCTAGGTAGACATTTAACTGAGGGACCCTGGCTGAGTAGCCAGAATACAATGGTGGGAGATACCGGCTGTTCATTCAAGAAATTGCCATGTAATGGAGGAGGTGTAGTAAGTGGCTGAGTTACATGCCAAGCACCATAGTGGAAGCATTATCCTGGCACATGGTCAGTAATCCATCAAGGTTAGTCATTACTATGATGAGCCCATAATCATTATTATTATCATAAAGTAGGAATCAGGTACTGTGACCACACAGAGGCAGGCAAATTCATCCCTCCCCCTTTGCCCAGTCATCAAGGAACAAATCACAGAAGGAATGACACTTAGGATGAGCCAGAGACCCATCTCTTCTGCAGCCAGAGGCGGGAGGAGGGGAGAGAGGCCAAGACAAACATCCTCCTAGCTCCCGGTGGTGATCAGGGTGTACTCACAATGAGCATAGAGCGTAATCTGGCTTCCTTTCTAAGCCAGTCTTAGGCCCTACACCCTTCTAGGGTCCTCTGGTCTTCGGCTTCAGAGCACAGTACAGCTTAGTTACAATGCGCCCTCTCCTTTCTGGACCCTTTCCATGTATCCCTCTGATACATTCCCGGTGGGAGCCAGGCCCAGATCTAACTCACTGCACAGGCTGTGTGAGCTGGGAAAGACCAGCCCCTTGAGTCTGAAGGGGCTTCTGGGTACTGGTGATGTTCTGCTTCCTGAGTCGGGGCTGGTTACACCAGTGTATGACTTGTGAAAGTGAATTAAGTGATATGCCAAGACCAAGGTATAGGGAGGAAATATACTCTTTCTGTATGTGTATTACCCCTTGATTCAGTCTCCTCCCTCCAAATGCCTACCATCTCATCCATACCAGGAGCAGAAGGGGAAATGGTGCTTAGTCTATCTGTACTCCTATAACAAAGCACTTCTCACAGTTCTGAAGGCTGGAAATCCAAGTCCAAGTCCATGACCCAGTGTCTGGGGAGGACTCTCTTATTTTGTAGGTGGCCACCTCGTGCTGTGGCAGAGAGAGAGAGAGAGAGAGAGAGAGAGAGAGAGATCATCTCTGTGGCTCCTCTTTTTATAAGGATACTAATCTCATCATGGGGACCCTACTCTCATCAATTCCTCTGAACCTAATCACTTCCCAAATTCTCCACCTCCTGATACTATCACACTGAGGGTTAGGCCTTTAACCTAGGAAGCAGGATGGGCAAGGAACCCTCCCCACCACACACACTCAAGGTTCAAGCCCAGGGAGCTTTGATCCACAACTCCCTTTAGAGCAGGGAGACAGGAACCAATGAGCAAGCTGTAAAGAGGTGAAAAACCAGGGAGAGCCCCACACATGTGTCTGCACTGAATAGATTCATTATTCCTTAGCCAAAACTCTTGGGATCCAGAAGTGTTTTGGATTTCAGATTCTGGGAGATTTTGCAATAATGGTGTATACATGGTAAGATAGCCTGAGAATGAGATCCAGTCTAAACAAGAAATTCAGGTATATTTCATAGACCCCTTATACACATAGCCTGAAAGTAATTTTGCGTGATATTTTTAGTGCTCCTCTGTTTTGACTGTGGCCTTTCACTTGAGGTCAGGTATAGAATTTTCCACTTGTAGCGTAACATTGCTTCCCAAATGTTTCTGATGCTGAGGTTCCCATTAGGAATACTCAACTGGTAACATACTGAGACCAGCAAGAGAAACCCCACCTCTGGAATTGCTTATATTTGTGGGAAAAGTGTCTTCCAGATAACATTACTTTCCAGAAATAATCAGTCTGCCTGTGCTGTCACTAGGGGATAATGAATGGCAACCCATGCTGAGAGTGAACATTGTAACACTGAACATTCACTCACCAGAAACTGTATAGGAGATGAGTAATTTTTAGGACTTTTTTTAATTCCTCAAATTATGGTCATTCCTAACGCCTACTCACAAGTTTGTTTTCAAGTTATCTAAAAGTTACAAGTGAGCTAGGTGTGAGTCAGAAAGAATTCAAGACACTTCACTGTAAGAACACATAATGATGCTCAGTGACTCGCAGCTGTTCCTACACATTCTCGGTGAGTCACATTGAGAGAGGAGGGATCAAAAGTGTCCACAACTGTCCAGAAACAGTGAGTCATCAAAGCATGCTTCCAAAAGGGACTTCCTCTGGTAGAGTAGCAGACAGGCCTGGCAGCTGAGCCCCCAACAAGTCCCACTCACCAGGGACTGAAGAATTGAGTGTGTGGCAATTGCTCCCCAGTAGGATTTGGGGGCACAGTAGAGGGGCTCACTTACACTGCTGTGCATTTGACCAGGTGCCACTGGGATTGAAGACCGCCTGCAGGAAGGAGTCCCCGAAACCATCACTAAATTGCGTCAAGCAGGCCTGCAGATTTGGGTTCTCTCTGGTGACAAGCAAGAAACAGCCATTAACGTTGCATATGCCTGCAAACTGCTGGATCATGGCGAGGAGATCATCACCCTGAATGCCGAGTCCCAGGTAGGTGGGTTTGGGAGCAGTGCTCCCCAAGAGGTAACCTCACGTGCAGCAGAGCCCCCAAGACAGGCTCTGCAGTTCCTGTGAGGAGAAACCTTGTCCTTGCCACTGTATCCCTGTTTGCACCTGTGCTGTGTTTCTGGAGCTTAAGATGTACTTGTCATTGCCTTAGAAGGTGAGGAACTTCTCACTACCAAAGGAATGCACATCTGGGCTTTATTAATGTGAAGTTCGGTCTGCCTTTTTCCTGAAATACTGTGCCTGTCGATAGTATCAGGATTCTTTTCCATGAGGTCACACATGCCCAGCACGTGGAGCCAGGGCACTAGTCCATTTAGCACTGACCTCCGCAGGACTTTTGTTGCTTCCCGGATGCCCCAGCAGGGGTTAGGGTTGGTTTTAATTCTCACTCATTTATTGACTTAAATCCTCAAACTGGTTGGGAACTTCTGCTTCATTTTCTGCCCTGATCTAAGCCCTGGTTTCTTACATGAAATGCGCTTGAGCTGCCCTTTGGGCTTCCTGAATGAAGCAAGGAACCAGCAGACAGCTCCTCATTGTCCTTCCTGGCATAGCCAGTGCTGTCAACTGAGTAGTTCACAGTAGATAAACCCAACAAACACAAATATATAAAATCGGCTTGCAAATATCAATTATATTTCAATCCTCTGTTTCACCCCCAAATGGCCACAGTGCCGGAGCTGGGCCCATCCGAAGCTAGGAGCCTCCAGGTCTCCCACATGGGTGCAGGGACCCAAGGAAATGGGCTATCTTCTACTGCTTTCCCAGGCCACAGCAGAGAGATGGATCAGAAGAGGAGCAGCCAGGACCCGAACCGGTGCCCATATAGGATGCCAGCACTGCAGGTGGCAGCTTTACATGCTATGCCACAGCCCCGGCCCCAAAAAAATGATGTTTAAATTCAAAACGATTCAAATAGAAATCTTTGTAGGAATTTTCTAAATACAAAAGATCCTCAATTCATGTTGGTTGAACACAGCTGGATTTCCAAGATGTTTCACAGGGAACTGAGTGCCAACCCGGTGGGCTTCCTGTCTGCAGAGGACTGGGAGCCATGGAGTTCCTGGTGTTTGTCCCCAGAAAGAGTCAACCCTCCTGGGCCTCAACCTCCTGTTTCTGATTGCTATCCAGTGCAGGGTTCCCTGTAGGTTTTCCTGCTCTCTCTGGAATTGAGATCCACATCCAGTTTTGGAAGGGCATTGCCAGTTGAAAGCCTTTTTCTTTTCTTCTTCTTTTGGTGGAATTGCAGAGCCTGATTGGAATTGGAGAACACTGGTAGTTGCATTTCTTCAGAGCCTCATCATAGCAAGGTCCTTGCAAAAGCTTTGGGTCCTCCCTCAATAGAAAACAAGGGTTAGGTAAGGGCCTCAGAGAACAATAGACAAATGCATGGAGGGCTCCTTCAGCCTAGCCAGTTAACAATAACACAGCCAGACCTTCCCAAGTGGAGTCATCCCACTATAGTCTCTGCACTATCATGTAGAAGGCAAAATAGAATGTCCCAGAAATGCAGACCAGTTCGTTCTCTTCTATGTAGAAAGTCATCTTCAGTTGACCATCAGTTTCTGGGCGGGGGGAACCTTCCGAGCAGCCAGCTCCTGCAACCTGGGGACCTGGAAGTATGTCAGCCCAGAGGTATGGAAGAGGATGACCATTAAGTGAACCTCACTATCCTTGGTGTCCATTTCAGGAAGCATGTGCCGCCCTGCTGGACCAGTGCCTGCAGTATGTGCAGTCCCGGGGCATCTGCAGCACCCCTGAGAAGACTGAAGGCAACGTGAGCGTAGGGTTTGCCCCTCTCTCCTCAACCTCCATGTCCACTGCTGCCACCCCCAGTCCGTGCCTCGTGATCGACGGGAGGAGTCTAGCATATGCCTTGGAGAAAAACCTGGAGGACAGATTTCTCATCCTTGCCAAGCAATGTCGCTCAGTCCTCTGCTGTCGGTCAACGCCTCTGCAGAAGAGCATGGTGGTGAAGCTGGTCAGAAGCAAGCTCAAGGCCATGACTTTGGCCATAGGCAAGTAATTAAAATGGCCAAATAGAGGCAGCCCATGTGCAAAAGCTGTCTTGTTCACCTGCTTTCTCTCAAACTGAATTTCTGAAACCCTTCTATGCAGCACGATAAAATGGGAAGTCTTCCTCACCTTTTCCCCATTTATAAAATCAGATGCAGGGAGATAAAGCAAGCAGCATGCTCCATATATCAAGCTCACACTGGAGAGCCACAAAATAGAGCAACAGCAGGTGCAGGTACCTGTTACACAGTCAGCAATACAGATCTAGCTTAGTAAGACAGGATAAGGCTTATCCTGTTTCTTGGGACACAGGACGCTAGAGAGCTGTCCATCCCAGGCAGTCCTGGCCATCACAGAGGGCCTGTATGGTCAGCATTAGCCCAGCCCTTTGCAGGGACTTCTGGTCATCATGAACCTCTTGGGATCCAAGGTTCTGCAATGTTGTAAGGATCCAGAGATGGTGGTGATAAGAATTCTCATAGCCTTGTCAGTTGGACTTGATGGATTAATCTGAGACAAGTACCTCATTAAGTGAACCCATCCTGAGATATGAATAGCTGTACAATTTTACATTTATTTCAGAGTTGCATAAATATATCTTTGGGTGATCTGTCCTTGCAGGAACTACTGGCCTCGAGAGTCTTCTGGGCTCCTTTTGAAGGATTCCACAGTGATCACTTGCCTCCTTCCTTATTACTTGCCCCCTTGCAGGCAGCATCTCCATCCACTTCTGGGTCAGATGGAGTCTCTAGCAGAAGTTTAGGGACCCAACATCACCATCTCCTGATGAGGGCCAGGGAAGAGATGATCCCTATGATCCCCAGCAAATCTATATCTGGTGAGAAAAGGCTCTGGAAGTGGGTCATCACCACTCAGTCATAGTAATTACAGTATTTTCTGTAGGAGGTCTTTGACACCACTCCTTGTTGAGATGAAGACTCCTGCCCCATCACCAAGAGGGCCTTCTAATGGGAGGAGGCTGCTTTTTTTTTTTTTTTTTTTTTGACAGGCAGAGTGGACAGTGAGAGAGAGAGACAGAGAGAAAGGTCTTCCTTTTGCCGTTGGTTCACCCTCCAATGGCCACCGCGGCCGGCGCGCTGCGGCCGGTGCACCGCGCTGATCTCATGGCAGGAGCCGGGTACTTATCCTGGTCTCCCATGCGGGTGCAGGGCCCAAGCACTTGGGCCATCCTCCACTGCACTCCCTGGCCACAGCAGAGAGCTGGCCTGGAAGAGGGGCAACCGGGACAGAATCCGGCGCCCCGACTGGGACTAGAACCCGGTGTGCCGGCGCCGCAAGGCAGAGGATTAGTCTAGTGAGCCGCGGCGCTGGCCGGAGGAGGCTGCTTTTAAACCTGAGTCCTTGATAGGGGTGAGGAGAGAGCCCTGACCTCAGCATGGCCATCCCAGAGACATCATCCTGCACAACCCCAGGGCTAGAGTATCCGCTAGGGAGAGTGCACAGATGGGCACATGCTGTCTGCCCTAGAGACAAGAGAAAAGTATCCATCTGTGATCCCCTGGTCCAGGGTGGAGGAAGACAGGCAGCTCCATCAGGGCTGAGTACTTCCTACTCGTGTCCCTCAAGTGGCCTTCAGGTTCTCCGAGCAGGTGCTGGAGGCAGGAATGAGGGGATTGCAGACTGGATCTGTACCACTCACTGCCTGCCCTCCTCCCTGGAGCTCTAGTGTCCTCACTGGGAACATGGGAACAAGGTCTGCCTTGAAGGGCTGGAGTAAGATGTTCAAGCCTGCTCAGTGCCTGGCTCAGCCCCTCAGTCCCTGGTGTCTGGTATTTGTTTGAAAAGCAAAGGTCAGGTCTTGGCTAATTAAAAAGAACAGAAGAAACAAAACAATCTCTCCAAAGAGAATGGAAAAGTAATGGTCCATGCAGACTTTTAGCCCGTTTCTCTAAGCATATGACCTACTCCTGTGTTCCCAGCAGTCTGTGATGTGAGGGCATTGTTGCAGGTCACAACTGATTCTGAATGGGCCATTCAAAAGCTTTAGAAATTTGTATTGCCTCACAGAATATCTTTATAGTAACCGTACACAGTTATGGGATTCATGTGATATTTTGATACATGACCAAATCAGGGTAATTGGCACATCCATCACCCCAAACATTTACTGAATTTTAGTTTGACAGATATTGACTGATTACCCCCATTGGGCCCAACCTAATAAAGAATAGAAAAATCGCAAGAAAGAAACAGTTCGCAGCCACATTGTGAGTCACCCTGACTGTATATCTGCACCTTGTGTCATCTGTGCAACTTAGGATACAGATGTGCTGTGATTGGAGCTGTGCTGCGCACTTCCAGGAATGATCACCATCACTGAAGATAATGACTTGGTGTCTCTGCCTGCCTTTCTCTGAAGGTGTCAAGAGCTCTGACCTATTCCTGTGTTTCCAAATATTTTCTCTCAGCAGGTTGACAGAATAAACAGAAATGCTCCTTTTTGACACCCTCAGAGGGCCCAAAGTTGAGCACAATAGTTAGTAAACTGACTAATAATCAGTGTACAAAAAGCAAGCTATAGTTGCCAGGGCAGAATTTTACTGTGTTTAGGAAATGGCTCAGGTGAGCATGAGTTGACCACTTGACTAAAGTAGCTGAGTAATGTTGCATTAATGATCATGTTGGTAATAATGACTTTCATTGTACAAGACACTGTGTTAAGAGCTTTATCAGTGTAGGAGCCAACAACTATGTAGAATGAGCACTAAATAAAAAGGTGACTCAGCACTGTTTGCTTTCTGATACATCTCTTGGTGGAGCCAGTAGTCCTAAGTTTCACACTGTGGTTAATTCTGACCACTTAACCCAATTCTCCCAGGGAGATGTGCTGCCTTGTCTCCAGTCTTCCCCAGGACTGTGTCATAGAACTCAGTCCAGTGAGGTCCTCAAGAAGATCCATGAAGTTGATTTGAACTGTGCCTCTCAATTCAAGTGATTTTTCCTGCCTGTGCTGTTTCTAGGTGATGGAGCCAATGATGTCAGCATGATCCAGGTGGCAGATGTGGGTGTAGGAATCTCAGGCCAGGAGGGCATGCAGGTAAAGACCCACCAGGGCTGTCTCAAGAGACCAAGTGGCCCTCATTGGCTTCTTGTCCTATCGTACTGTGAGCTATCCTGTCCTTGCTCAGGACTCTGTCTGGTGAAGCTAAAGGGTTCACTTCAATACAGCTGACATTCATCTTCTATTAAACCAGTAATAGAAGGTAAAGCGGAATGTCACTTATATTTACGAAGAATTGTTGAAGCCGGCGCCGCGGCTCACTAGGCTAATCCTCCGCCTTGCGGCGCCGGCACACCGGGTTCTAGTCCCAGTCGGGGCGCCGGATTCTGTCCCAGTTGCCCCTCTTCCAGGCCAGCTCTCTGCTGTGGCCAGGGAGTGCAGTGGAGGATGGCCCAAGTGCTTGGGCCCTGCACCCCATGGAAGACCAGGAGAAGCACCTGGCTCCTGCCATCGGATCAGCATGGTCTGCTGGCCGCAGCGCGCCGGCCGCGGCGGCCATTGGAGGGTGAACCAACGGCAAAAGGAAGACCTTTCTCTCTGTCTCTCTCTCTCACTGTCCACTCTGCCTGTCAAAAAAAAAAAATTGTTGAATAAAGATGTCTTCCTATATATTTCTGTGGCATGTCCACAAGTATATTTTTGTGAAATGGTTCAGAGAGAGGCCAGATGAGTCACCTCCTGCTCTCTGGCTCCTGATGGTGGGTCCGTGGGACACATTCCCTTGACCGCTTCTGAACACTATAGTGATTCCTTTTGGAAAACTGGCTTTGCTGTGATGCCATTGGAACGCAGTATCATGATAAAAATGCAGTGTAACCATTTCGACTCACGTGAAAACTAAGCTCTGCCATTTTCATTTGTCACTGTGTCCGTTCTTGATGGGTGATCCAGACACTGAACAAATGAGTCAATTAAAAATGAGCTTCTTTTGCATGTGGTATCACCACAACTTCAACACTTGATTAAGTTTGAAACACAACATTTTTCAGCTGGGTGGAGACTTCAAAGAACAACTTATCCAGTGTTATTATTCCAGAAGTCAGAATGTTGACCACCATTTACACACTGATTGATTCATTCACTGATCCTTTCATCCAGTCAGTAATTATTTATTGAGCACTTGCCTCGTGTCAGGCCTGTGCAGAGCTTGTTAGTTTTTCTTTTCTTTTTTTCATCTTTTTTTTTTTTACTTTGTTAAAAAAGCAATCACTTAGAAGGTCCTCAGCTGGAAGCAAAGTACAGCTGTTCCATGGAAGATTGGATATAGGACCCCCATGGATACTAAAATCTACACCTGTTCAAGTCCCTCATATAAAATAGCATACTATATGCATAGCAGACACACACTCCCACATATTTAAATCATCTCTAGATTACTTAGAATACCTAATGCGATGTAAATAGTACGTTAAATAGTTGCCAGACTACATAGTTTAGGGAATACAACCAAGAAAAACGTCAGTATGTGTTCAGGCCCAAATTTCTCTTTTCTGAATCTTTTTGATCCATGGTTGTTTGAATCCCTGAGTCTAAGACCATCAGATAGAGTGCCAACAACTGTACTAATATCTTGGCCCGTCCTTAGCACTCCCCTACCCTGCTCCTACTTACATCTCACTTAATACCTGTGTTATGTTACTTGTACATTTGTTTCCTCTGTGAAATTGAAAATGGGGAGCTCTTGTTTGACTCACCTTTGCCTCTTCTCAGTGTGCCCTGCATGTGGGGGAAGCTCAGGAAGCATTTTGTTTAAGGAATGAATGAAATAGTTTATTCATTCTGACTTTTCAGCATTGCCTCTGTTTTTCACTACCACCTGATGTAAAAAACTGATGAGGGAAGCGCCCTTCAATCTCATATGCAGAGTAAACTCATCAGATAAATACATTCAGTATCAAAAAGGCTAATGCTAAGTGCATAGAGGAGAAAGGACTGAGCTGCCACCACTGATCTCCTTTTCAAGGTAGAAGCACAAGCCCCCAGCCCTGGGGATATGTGATCTGTGACCAGGTGAGAGGTGATAGGAACAGCACAGCTATTAGGCACATGCTTTGAGCAGGTGTAACTTGTAGGTCAGGTGTGGCTGGATGCTTCTGTATTTATTTAAAGCTTCTTCCTTATTGAGGAGGCATTGTGTAAGATGACGCTAAGCCTTCATGCTTTTTCTTATGTGTGAGTGTCCAGGTGAATCTGACCCTGTTGCTTGTATGTCGGTCCAGTGAGTGAAGGGACGCTGTGCTGAGCACCCCGAGACAGACACTAGGATGCTGCGGTAGCAGGACGTCAGTGATGGGCGCTGAGCCATGGAGGATGGGCAAGGATGACAAGGTGCTCCCCAGCTCCGCCCAGTGTGGAGGCTGCTCCAGGCAGGGAGCCTGCATCTGCCAGGCAGCTCTGTCTCTTGAGCCTCTGTATTTGTTGAGCAGCCCCTAGAGCAGGAGTGAGGAGCTTTTTCTGCCAAGGGCCTTTTGGATGCTTATAACATCATGTACGGGCCATACAAAACTATCAACTTTAAAATTAGCCTCCTTAGACTTTCTGAATTTCTACCCACAGCTGCAGTTGCCTTGGCAGAGCTAGACCAAATGATTTCACAGACCTTATAAGGTCTGCAGGCCAGACTTTCCTACCCCTGCCCTAAAGCCAAGCACTGGCTGGAAACACAGCAGCTTCCACCTTGGTTCCCATGGGATATCCGGAGCAGCTGGGGACATTTGGAGAGGCGACTTGGACAGAGGGACAAGCATTGTGTTTGAGACCAGATTGGGGGTGGAAAAGAGGAGCAGAAGACTAAACAGCCAGGCACACCCCGTCAGGAGGTTTGCACCTGCAATCCGTCTTGAGCATTTGGATCTCCTCTTGAGAGACGATCTGGAGGGCTCCTTGTGGGCCCACTGACCTCCTTTCACAGATGCCTCTTTTGGCTGAGCTTTTAGAGTGACTCCGTGGAGGACAGGGATGATGCCTTATGGTTTCTGCATCTCTAGGTCCATGTAGGTAACAGTGGGAGCTTGACAAGTGATTTTCTAGAGAATGAATAATGGGATAACTGAATGAAGAATTAATACTCAGAAGGCTTTGAAATCCCTATACAAATATGTTCACAGGAAGAGGTATAGAGACATTCGCTTTGAAATCTTGATCTCGTGGTTCAGAAAGTTGATATTCTAAGGTTTTAAACTTTTCAATCACATGCAGTGGACCTTCCATATTCCTACTTTCTGTGTTGTAGACTCAACCAACCATGGATTGAAAAATATTTGCAAAAAATAATTGCATCCATACTGACCATAGGTAGATTTTTTGTCATTCTCTATTAATAATACAGCATAATATCTATTTACCTATCATTTATGCTGTATAAAGTATTATAGTTCATCTAGAGATGATTTAATCTATATGGGAGGACACGCATAGGTTGTGTGCAAATATTATGCCATTTACATAAGGGACTTGAGAAATTTTGTTATCCATAGGGGTAAGCAGAAGCAATCCCACAAAGATACTGAAGGACAACTGTGCAATAGTGCTGTCCCATTTCAAGCATAATTTACTCTTTTCTGGGTGTTATTTGAATACAGGAAAATCAGTTAAGTGTTAAAGGCACATTGATAGTTTTGAGTTGACTCATCCTCTGAAGATAGGCAGAAAGCTGTCTTTTCATACCATTTTGTTGGATCTTTTGTTCTGCATGATGAAAATTATATGGTGAATGCCAGTTTATTCTGGGGACAAAGTTCCATGGCTTTGGTGTGGCCTGGTTAATTTAATTGTGTAAAGCACAAAACTCAACCAAGCGAGAGGGAAGCTCCGACCCAGGCTTCTCCCCTGTCTGTAGAGGAAGCAGGCTTGCTGTCGCCGTGGCTTTCTGCTCACTGTCCACTGCCTGTAGGTGGCATCCTGGGACTGACTTTTCAGGGAGTCCATGCCTGCCCCCTCATCTGCGTGGCTCCTGGGGGAAAGGACACGAAATATGCTTTCCAGGCTACAAGAACATCTGTCTCTGCTGCAGATGAAAGGGGCGGTTTGGGTTCATCTTAGGATTGGAAGTGTGGTCTGACTCAGAGGACTGTAGCTTGGTGGGTGGAGTGGGCTATGGAGAAAGGCAGGGAAACTTCTTGCATCTCTGGGTTTATTGTTTGTTAAAAACAGCATGGGAGAAAAATAAAAGCAAAGTCAACTTTTTAGACGCGTTAATTACACATGCAGTGTTAGAAACCTTCAATGAATCCTATAAAGTGGTATCCCTTGACTGGAGGGTGTGTGGAGATTGGCTTTGTTTAAACGCGGTGAACGGAAAGAGAGACAGTAGCAGAGGATCCCTTGGCCAGCCACACTCACACTGTTTGAGACTAGAGTTTTCCATCCATATTTTGCCTCACAATTTGGAGGAAATAAGACAGACCTTTTGCTGTGTGAGTCATCCCCAATAACAGGAATTCCTCTTCCTTTCAAGGCAGTGATGGCCAGCGACTTTGCAGTGCCAAGATTCCGATACCTGGAGAGACTCTTAATTGTTCACGGACATTGGTGCTATTCCCGTCTTGCTAACATGGTGCTGTATTTCTTCTACAAAAACACGGTAGGTATTGGATGCTGGTCTTCGGATGCTTTCAGTTGAAAAGTCTGAGATTCGTTCATGGGACCATCACCTGAATGATGCATTTCATGTGGATCCTAATTTAACTCTTGATTCTTTCATTACTAAGTCTTTGGCAGACAGGCATCTTCATAGCTATGTGGGGTAAACCACATGGCCGTCTCAGAACGCTGCCCCACTTACAAGAGACCTCTAGAAATCTGCTGTGAAGCAGCTGGGTTCCTCCTTGTGGTTTCTGCCTCTGATGACTTGCAGCTGAATGCACAAACAAGGAGACCAAGTAAATTAACTCTTGGGTTCATGACCTTCCAGTGTAATCCTGTAAATCTAATTGTCCAGACACCAGTTCTCCAATGTCAAGATTATCCTGTACTCTTTTAAGTAAAGAATAAAATGAAATCAATTAAAAGGTAGATTTTTTCTAGTTTCTTAGAAAACTCCCTATAATAACTCTAAACTCCCCTCAGTACTCCAGTACTCCTCTCATTCATGTTCTTAAGTGTTCGTAATGAAATCTTACCCTCACTTCTCTATTGTCATCCTCTCCCATCCCTTCCCTCACAGTCGTTTTTACAAACTTCAGGAAAACACATACAGATGCTCAGAACAAGTCAAGGAGCGTTTAATTTGATAGGTTTTGTCCTAGAAATTAAGTCAGAGTAGGTTGTGCCTGGGATTACATCCAAGGAGAACTATGCCGCTCTGCCCTTGTCCCGCTGCTTCACTCCTCCCCCTTGATGTTAAATCTCCAGCTGGGTGAGGCCTCAAATGCACAGTTGCACAGCGTCAGGTTCCTGCCTCCCACAGAAATAGGTGACTAAGCTGGGGAAACCCCAGCCCTTTTTCTGTCACCCATTAATTGTAGGAAACCAAGCAAGTCACCTGTGCTCCTTGACTTAATGATGGGCTTATGTCCAGGTAAATCCACTGTAGGTTGGAAATATCATTTCAAAAATATTCGTGGTGCAGCTAACCGGCTGAACAGCCTAGCCCATCAGCACACCATGCTGCAGGGTATCAGATGTTCACCCTTGTGATTGTAGAACTGACTGACAGTTGCCACTTTCCACCATCGCCAAAGAGGACAGGGCCTTGTGTGGCTAGCCCAGGAACAGATCCAAACACAAGATTCAAAATATGGTTTCGACTGAATGTTTATCATTTCCACACTATTGTAAAGTCCAAAATTTGTAAATTGAACCGTTGTTAAGTCAGTGACTGTCTAAATGTGCCTTCTTTGGAATTTTTTTTTTTTTTTATGAAAACACAGGAGTTGAGCCAGCTGATCTCTGTAGGTATCAATTAGAATTTCTCAGATGGAGGGGTAGTGAGAAGTTTTAGCGTAAACCATTCCACATTTCATATGCACCAAAGTCCAGAGTGGCCTCCTGGACTGGGCCCAGCTGCCTTCCTCCATGTAGTTGTCCTCCTTGGAGGGCGCAGAGAGGAGAAGGGGGGGTACCTGTTTTTATTCCATATAAGATGGAATATTAAACAAGCATTAATCTCTGTGAGGAGTTCAAGGATAATCACTCTGCCTCCTAGAAGGAGAAATTCATTAGTTTTAGGAATAAATTGGCCTTCCGTCCAATAAAGAACAGAGAAGAACAGTTTCCATAGCAACAGTGTTTTGGGAAAAAAGCTTTTTGGTACTACAGTGGAAAAAGAAAAACTCAATTATCTGAGTACTTATCTACCTCCTCTTGACTCCATTTGCCCATCGGTGACTCATTAGGCTAAACCTGTCAGGGTGGGTGAGAGAAAGTTAGCGGGGGGAGGAAGAAAGAGAAGAAAGTCAATGAGAAAATCTTTGCCAGCTTTTAAGTGCAGAGGGGCAAAGTTGCATAATAAGAGGTTTAAATTACAGATGGACACAGAGCTTGAAAGATACATGTCATTGCAGGTTATATCAACACAGACTATTATTTCTTTTGATCTTTTGTTAAAGATTATTTATTTGAAAGACAGAGTTACAGAGAAACAGATGCAGAGAGCAAGAGAGAGAGGTCTTCCATCCGTGGGTTCATTCCTCAATGCTGCAATGGCCAGAACTGGGCTGATACGAAGCCAGGAGCCAGAAGCTTCTTGCAGGTCTTCTACTTGGGTGCAGGGGTCCAAGCACTTGAGTCATCTTCCTCTGTTTCCCAGGCCATTAGCAAGCATCTGGATTGGAATTGGAGCAGCCAGGAATCGAACCGGATCCCATATGGGATACCGACACTGTAGGTGGCGGCTTTACCTGCTACACCACAGCGCTGGCCTCCTCTTCTAATCTTTACAACAAGCCATTTTCAGGTCAAGAAACCAAAGCTCAGAGAAGTTGTCAAGAGACTGAGTCAAGATCAACAAGATGGATAGTGGCATAAGCATTACATAACAGTTAAGACACCACTTGGAACACCTGCATCCTGTATCTGAGTGCCTGGGTTTGAGTTTCAGCTTCTTCTGGTTCCAGTTTCCTGCTAGTGTGTACCCCAGGAGACAGCAGGTGATTCCTCAAGTAAAATTGAGTCCCTAGCACCTATATAGAAGGCCTGAATTGAGTTCCTGACTTCTGGCTTCAGTCTAACCCAGCCTTGATCTTTGTGGACATTTGGGGAATAAACTAGCAGAAGATGGCATTGCTCTCTCTCTCTTTCTCTCTGTAAATAAATAAATTTTTGATAGTTACAACTCCAGAACCAAAACCTAGACCTTGTGCCCAACAGAGAATGTTCCCTGAATCATTGTCCTTTTTTAAACATGTCCAAGACCCCCAGGCAAACCCATCTGTGTTGGAACATGTTGGGTTCATTATTCATGCTTTGAGGATGGCCAAGTCATTTAACATCTTGGAACCTCAATCTCCTTTCTCTAAGTGGGGTAAGAACACTGGCCCTGCTTGAGCCTTAAACAAAGGAAATAACAAAACTGCTGACAGCTAAGAATATAGCATGGATGAGTACCTGCAGTATGCCAGGAACTCTGGTGAGTTCTTTAAATACATTAAGTCCTTTAATTCTCACGACTTCATAGGTAAGTATCACTGATTTGCCCATGCAATGGATAAGAAAACTGTACCAAGTTGCACAGCTAATCAGTGTAAGAATGCTTTGGGGAGCTGGCATTTTGGCATACCTAGTAAAGCTACCACATCAATGCCAGCATCCCATGTAGATGCTGGCTCAAGTCCTGGCTGCTTCACTTCTGATCCAGCTCCCAGCTAACAGCCTGGGAAAAGCAACAGAGGCTGACCCAAGTACTTGGGCCTCTGCCACTCACATGGGAGACACAGCTCTTGACTCCTGGCCCAGCGCTGTCCCTTGCTGCCATCTGGGAAGTGAACCAGCAGATGTAACATATCTCTCTCTGTGTGCATGTCTCTACCCCTCTTGCTGTAATTCTGACTTTCAATAAATAAATAAATCTTTTTTTTTTAAAAAAAAGAAAAAGATAAAGAGGATTTGGCACTGTGGCTTAGCAGGGAAAGCCACTGCCTGCTGTGCTGGCATCCAATGTGGGTGCTGGTTCAAGTCCTGGCTGCTCCACTTCCAATCCATCTCTGCTATGGCCTGGGAAAGCAGCAGAAGATAGCCCAAGTCCTTGGGCCCCTGCACCCACGTGGGAGACCCAGAAGAAGCTCCTGGCTCCTGGCTCCTGGCTTCAGATTTTCCCAGCTCTGGCCATTGCAGCCATTTGGGGAGTGAACTAGCAGATGGAAGACCTCTCTCTCTCTCCCTCTCTCTGCCTCTGCCTCTCTGTAACTGCATTTCAAATAAAAATAAATCTTAATTAAAAAAAAAGAAAAAGGTAAAGAGAGACACAGTGATGTGGCCACCCATAGGTTTTGCTTAGAGTCACAAACAAAGGAGAGGCACCAGGGAAAAAGCCCCAGATTCATATCCTACCAGCTCTTCTGAAATGCGAGCAGCCCAACAGTTCCTGTCAAACCTTGAATGACTTGTGACTCTTCAGACACAAAACCTCTTCCCCGCAAAGGCTGTTCCTGGGAAGTCCACGTTCTCACAGCCAAGTCCTCCAAGGAAGATGATGCAGGGGAGAAGTACAAGGAGGGACAGGCAGAGGCCAACACCGGGGCTCAAAGTTGACACTGACTTTGGTAGAAACTGCTGCCTGTCAATGTCTTCTTTACAGAAAACTCTGCAAACCTCCTAGATCCTTTGGGTGAGGTTCTGCAAGGGCATCTAAAGAGGTGCCTGTTCTCATTCTTCCTTTCTTGATTGCAGATGTTCGTGGGCCTCCTGTTTTGGTTCCAGTTTTATTGTGGTTTCTCTGCATCTGCCATGATTGACCAGTGGTATCTAATCTTCTTTAACCTGCTCTTCTCATCGCTTCCCCAGCTTGTGACTGGGGTGCTAGACAAGGATGTGCCGGCCAGGGTGCTGCTGTCTGAGCCGCAGCTCTACAGGAGTGGCCAGAACATGGAGGTTAGGACCCAACCCTTCAAAGTCTGTCTCCCTATCAGTGGATATGTGGACAAATTGTTGAAGTCTAAACTCTGACCTTTGGGAAGACAAATGGACTCTGTCTACTTGGGCCTGGCAGTGCATTTAGTATAGGGAGTGAAAACTATTCTCACTCCCCAGATTTCCAGGAGCCCAAGGAGGGAGCCCTTCCTGGGGTCTGAAAGTCACAAGTGTGACTGAGGCCCAGGTGGGATTCTACAAAATCAAACAAAAAGACTTGATTTATTGTGAATGGGAGTTAACAAGAGGACAAACCGACAGGGAAACTGTTGATGTATTGAAAGAACAGGTGTATGTTGCTATCAATATCCTGCGTAGATTGACACACTAACAGCCAGCTGCTTCTGGCGGCATGCAAAGGCCACAGGTTGGACAGATGAGGAGGCTTCTGCTTGTTCCCTTGATGTACCTTGTCACATGAGGGGAACTCATATCCTTAATCAGGCTTCAGTGTCCTCACCTGACTCAGGACGAAGACACTGTCCTGTGGAGTTAGGTGACCAGAAGGAAGAGGGTAGCCAGCACTTTCCAGTGCTTAGTAAATTCTCCTGCCTTCTCTGCATAGCTGCAGGCCAGGATCTGACCAGCTGTCTGGAGACTTTAGCAGGGCCACAAACCAATTTGGTCACCCAGATAATGAAACCTCCATTCTTCTACATCCAGGCTATCATTGCCTGTGGGTTTAGGGCTTTTAAATTTTAACATTAGGATGCATCCATCATCTAAGTTTAAAGGTTAAGACCCACTTACATTTACACTATGGAGTACTACTCAATTGTAAGAAAAAATGAAATCCTGTCTTTTGCAACAAGATGGTCGCAACTGGAAACCATTATGCTGAGTGAAATAAGCCAGTCCCAAGAAGACAGATATCATATGTTTTCAGTGATCAAAGGTAATGAGCAGAGTACCTGAAATATAATGTATTGAAGTGAAATAGACATTTTGACAGTTGGTGATGTTTGTAGCCCTTGTCTCTTTTTTGACGAACAGTGTTTTATTTTGCTTTCTTTTGTTTTCTCTACATACTATTTGTTGAACTCTTTCTCTTAGGGTAGTGTTCACTATACAAGCGTTAAATGTACTAAGAAAAAAAGATCATTGTGGAAATTGAGGGATTGAGAGTGAGAATATGAGGGGAAGGGAGAAGGTTTGGGGCGTGGTGGGGGGAAATACCACCATGTTCCTATAATGATATGAAGGAAATATATGAAGCTTGTATAACTTAAATAAAATATATATTAAAAACAATAAATGAAAATAATAACATATACAAATCACTAATTAATTAAAAACAAAAATTGAGAAAAAAACAAATGCCAAAGGAAGCAATCGTATCACAGTGATGTTTCTTTTAGAGTGAAGAAAAGATTGTCCTGTAAAATTTAGTTCTTGATCTCCTCACAATAGTTGTAAACAAAATAAATTTCAACTAAGGCATTGATGTTGTAAGACATTTTGTGATATATTCAAACTGGTCAGTGCTAATGAGTAATATAGAGAATACCCCTATAGCCTCACTTAGAGAAATCTAATTGTACAAGATAGAAACAAGACATTTTACAAACATGGGGAATGAAAGAAAAACTATGTCTGAATAGTTAAGGGTTAAAATAGATTTGTATGTCATCACTAACATGCAATTCTACCATCATTCCCACAGTAATCAGTGTTGGAGAAACTGAAGGTTCAGGTGTCAATCAAGTATTTCTTTTGACTTCTTGTCCAAAATAAAATCAGGGTAACTCTTCTAATTTGGTTACGTGGCAGGTAAAAATTTTGTACCAACTCACTGAACTAGTGAATTCTTATGTCAGATTCTTCTGTCCTAAGACAAAATGTAGATCAGCCACTGGTCCAATTTATCAATAAAATAGATCTTCTCAAAAAAAAAAAAAAAAACACATTTTCAGTGACTCACCACAAAGGGAGACAAAATTTCAAAAAGTAGGGGAAATAGGAAAACTCAGACTTGACAGAACGCTCAGAATAACAGGTGCTCTTCCTACTCAAGAGGGGCATTCCCTGATAGACTTGGAAAGTGGTTTCATGTTTTCACTGTCAACCTGGAATGACTGCAGCTCTTCTTGTACAAAGGCTCCCAGTAAGCGACCCAGCTGCAAATCATCCATGAGCATCTATGTACTTGTTTGTTCACAGCCAGATGGGGGCCTCAGCTCTCCGGAAGTCCTAAGCTGGCAAGCTTTGCGTGACTGCCTGTGCCATGGTGCTCTGGCATACCAGAAAACTTCACTTGACAAGACAAGCACTTATCTATAATCTCCTGGCTTTTTTTTTTAATTTGTATGTTTGTGTCCCAGGAATATCGGCCATGTACGTTCTGGTTAAACATGGCAGACGCTGCTTTCCAGAGCCTGGTTTGCTTCTTCATTCCTTACCTGGTAAGTGCACAGGTGGTATAGTTTTTCCCACTGACAGCATCCATGGGCCCACAAACAAGGGATGCCCCTGTCTTTCAGGCCTATTACGACTCAGAAGTGGACATGTTTACCTGGGGGACCCCCATCACAGCCATCGCGCTGTTCACCTTCCTGCTGCACCTGGGCATTGAAACCAAAACCTGGGTAAGAGTCACTGGCATGGCCACTCATGCTGCAGATGCCTGGAGAGCCAGAAGTTTTCTGAGCAAACAAGAGACTGCAACACCAGCCTCACTGTGATAAGAAGGAAACTGACACCATCCAGAGCACCTTGACATAGGGAGCCCCACACCTCACACTTCTGGGGAGCTCTTAGCTCCTCCCTGCCTTCTCTCACCTCCTCCACCTCCACACTCTCTCTTTGCCCTCTTGTCTTGCCCTCTGCTGCCCACTGCATCTCACCACCTGTGTATGTCAAGGGTCTTTGTTTTTCCTAAGCACTTAGAACATCACACTCATTTATTGATGATTAAGACATTTGTTTTCATGTCATTGTTGTCATTTTCAGTTGAAATAAAAGCCCCCCTATTTTTTCTCTTATCTCAGACCTGGCTCAACTGGATAACGTGTGGCTTCAGTATCCTTTTATTCTTCTCCGTGGCCTTGGTGTACAATGCATCTTGTGCGACATGCTATCCTCCATCTAACCCATATTGGACCATGCAGACATTACTGGGCGACCCCCTATTTTACTTGACTTGCCTCATAGCACCTGTTGCTGCGCTACTGCCCAGGTGCGTATCCGAGGTGGTGTATCCAAGTCTTTGCTCTGAGTGTCCCCATTGCCTTTGCTCCGAATGAGCCTTGGGAAGCTGCAAGGCACCACCCATGACAATGTCTGACTTTCTTTTTTTAAATGTGCTCTTTCCAGATTGTTTTTCAAAGCCCTCCAGGGGAGTCTTTTCCCTACCCCACTTCAGCTGGGACGTCAGTCGGCCAAGAAGACCCCCAAGAAGCTCAGCACTTCCAAAGGGAACCTTGCTCAGGAGCCCCTCCCAAGAGACCAGAGAACCGAGGACTCAGAAGAGAGGACCATCGGCCCTTCCGAGTCTCTCTCTGGGGACTTTGCCTCCCAGGCTTCATGGCACACACCGCAGCTGGCCTGTTCCCCAGAGGCCAGTGGGGAGCCCAGCGCGGTGGATATGAGTGTGCCCGTGAGGGAGGACCCCCTTCCGGAGGGGCTGAGTGCTCAGACCCCAGAGTCTTCCACACCAGGACAGGATATGCCAGCAGACTGTCCTGGGGACTCCAAGAGGAAACCCAGCAGTACAGGCAGGGCAGCCCCCCTGTCGTCCCTCTTCAACCTGCCCAACTTCAGCTCCCTCAACTGGATCTCCTCCCTGTCTCTGGTCAGTGGGCTGGGCAGTGTCTTGCAGTTCTCCCGAAGTGGTTTGCAGATGGACAAGCGGGACGGCGAGTTCCTGTCCAGACCCCCGCAGCCAGATCAAGACCTGCATGACTTGCGGGGACACGCCACGGACTACTTCTAGGAGCACCTTCCAGTGACCACGGCTGACTGCAGTCACACTGAAAACCTTGAAATGGCCCTTTTTTATATATATGACATAGATGTGAATATTATTTATGTTTATTATTTGCACAGAAGAGTTCTAGGAAGATGTATTTTTTAAACGTTTCCAAGGCTAACACAGGAAACGAGAGGTACCAAAGAAAGTTTATTTTTTGAAGTTCTACGTAGAGTATATTGAGAAGAGAAATAAGAGCTTTAACATATATAAAAGTTTCAAGAAGAGTGACACTTGAGAAGTGTGTTTAGATTTATTTTTTCATCTCATTTTGTAAGAAGAGGCAATATGATTGTTTTTATCAACAAGCATGACCTTTTTTCTCCCCGAATTTAAGTGTGTGATTGAATTCAGTGAACTTCAGATGGGCGTCGGTGGGACAGAGGGGTCGATGTTGGAGGGGAGAGTGTTGGGCCCCCAAGGCAGATTCCCCCACTGGCTTCCAATCCCACCAACATGGGAGGGTTGGGGCTCCCCTTCACCCAGAAAAGGGAAAGTGAGACCTGAAGAGGAATTCATGTGTGCAGTTCATTCCGGTGCCCAATTCTATGCAGGCATTTCACGAAGATCACCTTGTAGGTATGACAGCCCCTCTGCAGCATTTTGCCTGTTAAATTCATAACAAGCAATAAACAACCTTCACCTTGCAAAGAGCATGTCCAGTAGTTGCCACTGTTTTGTGAAGTTGTGACCTCATGGAGTGTTCTGAATACTGCAGGGTAATTCTTCATGGCAAGTGCTTTAGATGCTATGAAGACAAGATTCAGTGCATCTAAGCCACGATGCCCATACGACCCATCACACCACACTCCGTGCACCAGGCTTCCAGACCAACCAGACCCTTGTCACCAAGAAGCTAGGATTTTTCAGGAATTATCTTCAGGCCCTTTGTCTAATGAGCCACTATTTCTGTCCCTCTAAAAAGAGAAAAGGAAAATCTGAAATGATACAAATCAGACAATTACATGCAATTATTCTCTGAGTTCTCTTTATATTTTGTCAAACCAATAAGTCACCTGCTGTGCTCAGCATTGGGAATATGAAGTTAGTAGGGTGTGATGTCTTCTGTGTGGGACTTATGGCTCCTGCAGGTACCTCTTGCTGAAAACAGCAGTGTAGAAGGGGCAAAGGACCTGAGGACGAATTCCTGAGCATAGCATACATGGTCAGAATGGCTGGTTATTCAATGAATGTGACCCACTGCAAGTAACAGAAAGTGCATCTCCTTCTGGTCAAACAAAGGAAAGGCACAAACTCCCTGTCTGCACGTCCAGGAATAGGGTGGGCTTCAGGCTGATTGGACTCAACAACACAGATCCAACATGTGATATTTTGAGTGTGTCCCCCCAAATTCCTTTATTTGAAACTTAACCCCCAATCAGCAGTCTTGGCAGGTGGGCCCTCTGGGGAGGTATTTAGGCCATGAAGGCTCTGCCCTTGTGGATGAATTCATCCTGCTGTAAAATAGGGCTTGTGGGAGTCATTTCATGCTGGTGCCCTTCCACCTGCTGCCATGTGAGGTGGCCGCAAGAAGACTCTTGCAAGATGCAGGTGCCTTGATCTTGGACCTCTCACCTCCAGAACTGTGAGGAAATAAAGTTCTGTTCCTTATTATCCATTCTCAGGAGTTCTGTTACAGCATCACAAAAAGATTAGGACCCAAGACTTGTTTTCCCTGGTCGGGTCCCTTAGCTTTCTGGAAAGCCTCTGAGTCACCCCAGGCCGTATGCACACATCACACTACACAGAGGGGAGAGAAGGCGCCTCTTCCACACCCCACGTAGAGCCCTGTTTTCCTCAGCCTCCTCCTGCATGGGCTGCACAATGGTCTCACAAATGATTACCAGCAAATGGCAAGGAATGTTCTGAGCGGGGCTCCCTGTTGCAGTGGGAGACAGGTCTGCTTCTCTCCAAAGTGCCTAGGTTGCATGAGTGCGTGCCTGGAGGAATGTCTGAGTCATGTCAAATGGGGGAGGCAGAGGGGAGTGGGAAGCAGCTTCCACAGTCAGCACACCAGCCTGAAGGTGACCACTGGCCCAATCCTTCCTCCTCCAAGCCTGATACCACCTCATCTGTACTTGGAGCAGCAAGTATGAAAAGAATGTTCCTGGGAAGGTGCACAGTGCTACTCCTTTCTGAATTAAGGGGATAATTGTTAGAACAAGAAGACCTGAAAGCACATTTACCTGAGTAACCGAGGCTTTAAAATGCCTCAGCCTCCAGGTTTCTCTGTACTCACCACTTACCTGCTCTCCAAGCAACACTCCTCTGTCTATACTTCCTCTTGGGCAATAGAAGGATCCAAGCGGTGGCACTGGGAATGTGCATACTGAAGCCACTTTAGAAAAATAAGCATTGTAAATGGCCTCAGCAGGTGCTGCTCTTCAAGGTGAGGAACAGTCATGGAAATCTGCAGTCCTCACAATGAACTGATCCCAAAATGAGCACAATAGGGGATGCACTTCATGATTATCTCAGATAAGCACTGGGTGAACTATGTTAGCAAATTCTGATAAGTCTAAAAATAGGAAGGCCAACTCTGCTGAGCAACAAAATAGCTGGACCAGTTATTTGACATTACATGTCTATTTCAAAGTCGAAATCCATTGATTTTACGTTCTCAGAGGTTGTATAGTGTATTCACCTGGTATTCCTGGCACTGAACACAATCTAGCAGTTGGAATGCACTCAGTGAGTGCTGAATCAAAAAATAAATGATAATAGTGAAACACTCAAGATATTTGTGTTAAAATCAGAGATAAAGTTGCTTGTTACAACAGTTAATATTATATGGAATTTCTGACTAATGCAATGAGACAAATTTTTTAAAAGAATGAAAATTTGAATGGTAGAAACCAAATTACCACTACTTACACATGATATTATATTCCAGAACAATTCAAATGAATAAAAGGCTCTTTGAACTAATAAAATGAGGAAATACATTGGCTCATAATGAGTAAAACAAATCACATCTTTTCTACAGAGCAACAAAAGCCAGTCAGATATCATAATGGGGTAGAAAAAGATTTCATTCACCAACATAACATCAACAGTTACAAAAATTAAAATGCTAAAGAACAATCTTAGTAAGTATAAAGACAACTCCCAGAGTTAAGGAAGATGTTAACCAAAGTCTTAACCACAAAGGCGTGTCTTGTTCCTAGGTTAGAAATACTATATGGGTGCTATTTTCAAGACACAATCTTTGTAGCCCTTTTTATTTTTGTTTCTTTGTTTAGGTATTTCCAAAATTAATAAAATGATTCTACCCCCATCATGCAGTATGAGAGTATTTCAAAAATTCATAGAAAATGGAATTGAAAAATAGATTTATTTTGATTTAAAAAATGGGACATCTATGCATAAATTTTTCATATTTTCATGAACTTTTTGAAGACCCCTTGTATATGCTGACCTTGGTGGTAAGTACCCCATGCTGTTAAATAATGCCAAAGGATACTCTAACTTAGTGTGACACCTGCCTCTTGGATTCATTGTATCCAGTGGGTTCCTATCTCCATCAGCATTTGTTTTTAGATTTTGGTTACTGAGAAACACCATAGTGCACAGGTGGAAACTAGATAACAGAGTGTTACAAAATTGGAACTTTGGTTTTGGCTCTGCCACAGGGATACTGTGAACCCCAAAATATCTCCTCTTTGGAATCCTTTTTCCTAGTTGAAAAATTAGTCCAGGTAAATGACTAATGAAGTCCTTCTAGTTGTAGAATTCTATTCTTTAGGATAGGCCACACTTTGTTAAAAAAAAAAAAAATAAGAGCAAGAACAAGAAGATGATAAAAATGGTATGCTTCCATCCCATAAATGCCTGAATCTTCTGTTCCAAATTATTAGCTCCTTGAGATAGAGTGTGTGTGTGTGTGTGTAATTCTTGGTTAGTAACAAATCATTGATACCCAAATTAATCAGGCTGTCCATGACTTGCATTACTAAAAAAGAAAAGGTCACTCCTACTAACTTTATTTTACCGTTGCAAGCTCTATTTGAGCTTCCAGCTCTCATTATTAAATCTTAGTATCACTCTATGCTGGAGATGGAAGTCCTTAATTTCAGTCCCTTCATACTGAAACTTCCGGGCACTAAGAACATATTTTCATAGCTAGAAATCAGGATCCTCACCAGAACCAAGCCATATTTGATATCAGAATTACTAAGAAAAAATCATGGATGCATGTCCATTAAAAATAAAAATGATAGGGCCAGCATTGTGGCACAGTGGGTTAAACTGCCTCTTACGATGTCAGCAACACAAATGAGTACCGATTTGAGTCCTGGCTGCTCCACTTCTGATCCAGCTCCTTGCTAATGTACCTGGAGAGGCAGCAGAAGATGGCCCAAGTATTTGGGCCCTACCATCCATGTCAGAATTTATATGGAGTTCCAGGCTCCTAACTTAAGCCTGCCCAGACCTGGTCATTGCAGCCATTTGGGGAGTGAACAAGCAGATGAAAGATCCCTCTCTACCTGCACTGTAACTGCTTTCCAAATAACCTTTAAAAATAAATTAGCAAAAATCATAGTGTAAAGAGGTATAGCTTATTTTAAGATTTATCTATTTATTTGAAGGGCAGAGTTACAGAGAAAGAGAGAGAAAGATCTATCCACTAGTTCACTCCCCAAATGACCTCAATGGCTGGAGCTCAGGCAATCTGAAGCGAGGAGCCAGGAGCTTCTCCTGGGTCTCCCACATATGTGCAGGGGCCCAAGCATTTAAGCCATCCTCTGTTGCTTTCCCAGGCTATTATCAGGGAGCTGGATAGGAAATGGAGCAGCCAGAACTCGAACTAAGTGCCCATATGAGATGCTGGCACCACAGGCAACAGCTTTACCAACTACACCATGATGCTGGCCCCTACAGCTTTTCTTAAAGAAGAAAACAAACTGAAAATGTATATATTATTTTGTTCATATGACTCCCCCTACAAAGTTAGGGGAGAAAAGAGGAACAAAGGAACAAGAAATAGATAAGCAAATAAAACAACACATAGCAAGATGGTAGACTTCAACTAACCATGTCAATAATTACACTAACTGTAAGTGGACTAAAGACCTCAACTAAAAGAGAAATATTTTCAAACTAGGTTTTAAAAAAGACCCATCTATAGGCATGTGATGTATAAAGACAGATTGAAAGTAAAATGATGAGAAAGAATATATAACATACAGACAGTATGTGTAAGAAAGGTAATATTAATTCCCAGCAAAGTAGATTTCTAGACATAAAAGGGACTTTACATGATGATAAGATCAGTTTCTCAGGAGGACATACAATCCTGAATGGTCCAACAATAGTTTCAATTACATGAAACTACAACTTGTAGAAGGAGAAGTAGAAAAATCACTAATACACTCAGATCTTATCTCAGTGCCTTATAGAAACATAGAGTGTATATAATGGGGTGGGGGTGAATGTAGGAACTAGAGGATCATTAGTGACTGTTTCTGTATTTATGACCAGAAAATACAGGCCCAATTCAAGGTCTTCTGAGGCCACATATCCTTTGATGTAACTGGTAGACAAAGATGTCTCCTTCAGGATAGGCCAGAGAGGAGACAGTGGGCAATATGTGGCGAGGGGAGCAGGGAGAGAGACTTTGAGGAAAGAAGCAGAGAAGATGCTGTGTCCCTTGCTT